AAAAACATGAACCCTAGAATCGGAAGTAATCAAGAACTGGTTGAATATTCGAGTAAAAATACGATTTTTATTAATTGTATGGATTCTACAATCATATATGACCAAGCTCTGATACCACATGTAAAGAATTTCTCAATATATATACACTAATTCTTAAAGAACAATCAAATCCATATATGAATGTAGAACACCATAAGAAAAATAATAATAATAATACACACAGCGGAATTAAAGCGTACCTGTTTGAACCATTGTTATTCTCTAAGAAAAGAAATAGATCAACGACCTACTAGAATGTCGATCTTCCTCTCTTTGGCCTATTTCGATATAGCAGCTTTCAATGGGATAAAGCGACCGATAGGTATAACCTACCCTTTTATAGGCTAGAGAGGGGACCTAGCAAACCCTAATCATTAGTGCGTTAACTGGGCCCCTCCCATCACGGGCTTCAGTTAAACACAATTGCCTGTACTTTGCTGCTCAACTAGGTCTGTTATTTATAGATGCCGAAACCCAATTCAATAAGATCACTAAAGGGCATAACACATATATTGGAATATCCATTAACCCGAGTATTTAAAATAGAAAATCAATTAATTAATGTAAGCCCATATTATAGGAAATTTCCAACAGCTAGACCCAGAAGAAAGTGATTTCCTAATGAATTTTCCTGCTCTTAACATGGATGGCCTGCCTTTGATTGGACTCAAGAGGCGAACCTAATTTGGTCACCAAAAGCTAATTTATGATACGGCTTGATCACTAAAAAAGATCTTGAGGATAATGATGTTCGAATTATGAGAAATCTCAAGATCCCTCTTTATATAATACCATATATTCCAAGTGATCATAAGGCTGCACCATTGATTCAAGCAGTGATCTTGATATTTGTATTATGATGAGGTGCGGAAGCACAACGCATTGCCCAAAGTGCTGACAAAGGATCTCCTATTTTTTGCGAGGTCATGTATTCGGTTCACATCGTGTGAGAACCTCTATATAGCTAAGGCAACACCTAATAGGATTCGAAATATATTCTTTTTCCACACGGGGAGAGAGAGAGAGAGAGAGTTGCGAGGACACAAAGACAACTCCGTGAAGACTTACCATTTTGATTGAATCTCTCGTTTTTTATCTCAGCTAATCCACATCACTACTGGCCTTTTAGCCTACCCAACTTCAATGATGTCCCAAACTCCCCTTCTTCCTCCCAGACACACCTCCATTTCACCGTCTCCCTTTCGCTCTATCCCTTCCAAATACTTCTCCATTATGCCATGAGCACCGAATATGTTTCCCTTTTAGCTTCAACATTATCACCATTTCATAGATCTCGCAGCTTTTCCTTTGTTCTTTTTCATGTTTGGGGATCATCATCATATATCTCTGAGATATGGATCTTCAACTTGGTCTAGCTCTCTCAATTCATGACCCTGCCAGAGGGTCTGCAAAATAAAGCCCTCCTTCAAAATTTTCACGGAAGTTTCCCAGCACTTGCTGAAGTTTCTCCCTCTTCAAAATTAAAACAGTAACATCAACCACCTCCCAACAAATTATGTGAACACTTTAAACATCCAGATGAATGTAGAGTCTAATTGACTAAATTGGTCGAGATACATAGATTTACATAACTAAATTAATTCGTAAACCATCACGTGATTCGATCGTGTATCAACGGTAGACCGATTGTAGATTGATATTTTAATGAACGAGACTCTAAAGTGACATAATTACATGAGATTCCAGTGTTTGCCGTTGAATATTTTTATGTGCTGCATATTTCTTGGTGTTCAACGTATCCGAATCGATGAGAACAACGACGATACGGCATTTTTATTTATATTTGTCTAATCTACCTTAACCTGAGTATTTGTCAGGGTATTCCTATTTGTCCTTAACTAAAGAGGTGCTTAAACATGCAGAAAAAGAGGATAGAGACGTGGATCGACCACTAGAAAAGAAAATGTGCAAGGAGACTAATAACATATGGATGCGGGATTGGCTCTATATGTTGAAGGGGACTTCAACTTCACCCTGTTCTCTTTTAAGCCCTCTTTCTTCTATTAAGAGACTTCAACTTCTATTAAACCCTCTTTCTTTTTTGATAGACTTCTCACGTAGCCACCACCAACATGGCTTGGTATTCCTAGCTTGGGCTGCTTCCACCCTGTTCTCTTCTTCTTCTACCTCCTCGCTCTCTGCCTAGCTCCACCTTGGCTGCGGTGTCAGAGTCGGCGCCGACAGGGAGGTGGGTTGGGGAGAGAGAGAGAGAGGAAGGAGTGAATACGAGAGGAGTGGAAACGGGTGGAGGCTTAATTTGTAGGTGAAGACAGGGAGGGAGAGGGGGTTGTAATGGAGCTCCTTTTTGGCCTGTAGCCTCTCTAGCTCTCTTACCATGGTGAATAGAGGAGGGGAGAGGCATAACATTTCATGAGAGCATTCATTAACGTTTATGGAGAGGGGGAATGGGGGCCTTGTGATGCCAAATGGATGATGAATTTGTTGATCACGAGGAGGAGATCAAGGTGGAAATTAGAAGGAATATTTTCTATATTCGTCTGGATTCAATTAGTTCACACACTTTTATTTTGTACTGAATTAATTACTCGCACGGCACCTACACGCCAAATGCACGGCACCTGCACGACCTCCACACAACAATAATAAGTGGAACAACATAAAAGGTTTGACGGTACCAAACAAATCTTTCTTTATGTGAGCTCTTGCTTTTCTAGCTAGCGAAACTTCCTACATGCATTCTCCTCCCACGCGGACTCAATGCATGCATGCATTCCTCATTTCGCTTCTTCTCCAACCGAGTTTTCTTGAGAAAACGTACACATGCATGCAGCCATGTTCGAAGGCCAATCAAAGCTTTATCCCCACATGAACCTGGAAAACATAAAACACGAGACAAGTACAAAGAAAATGAAGAGTAGGTAAACTGGAAAAAAAGGGGAAGATAACCCAGGAAAGAGAAAGAAAATGGAAATAACCACCACGCCACACCCCTCCTTGTTCTTTTTTGGAAAATGCTTGCATAACTAGAATCATTCTTCAGCCCATGGTTGCACCCCATGGTTGCACCAAATCTTCTTCTTTATCTGCACAGAGATCGAAGATCTTCTTCCTCCATTCCATGATCTCATAAAAAAGATCGTCTAATTGCCAAACTATCCCCTCCACCTCATCCTTCAACACCCCTAGACACCCCCGAACTCCTCCACCCTCTCCCTTATCCAGGCTCCTCCGTCCTCCTCCCCTGCTTGCCCGCGTTCCTCCGAACACCCCCAGATTTTGGAAAATTAATGTGAATTTTCCAAAATCGAAAATCAATTTTGGAAAATTCACATTAATTTGAGTCAATATGATCAATTAAGCTAGCCATTGACTTGCAAAATCAAGCTAGATTGATCTAATTGAGGTAATTCAACCTGAACCACTCTTCTCCAGGGTTTAATTTGATGAATTGAGCTTCAATTTGACGATTAAACTCCAATTTCCTTTTGGGGTTTAGTTCAAGCCAACATGTGGGAGTCAATTAGGGCTCATTAGGATGTTTTAAACCCATTTGATTGAATCAATTGATTATTTTTCAAATCAATTGGATTTAATTGAAATCAATTTTATCGATTGAGGACAAAAACTGCGAAAATTGCATCAATTGATTGAAAAGCCCCAATTTGTGTGAGACAACTCAATTGAGATGAAATTGACATCACTCGTGATGTAATTAGAACAAATTCATCCACCCCTGGTACCTTTATGCCACGTGAATATCACAAAGGTAAAATAAGTATCGCATGGCGAGCATAGAAGTGAGTATACTCTCAGCTCCGGTGCCTGGTAGACGATAGATAGATGTATTAGATTTTCCCTCTGATTAGAAGAAAACAATGGAGTAAAAATTTGGAATAGCTCTTGTTTCCTTGGTTTGAAATTACGCGAATGATCTCTCTTTCGAAGTTGCGCCATGTTGAGATTGGAATTCTAATGGACACGTACAGACTGTCGATGCTTCGACTTTCTTTTTCAGTATTTCACTCTTATCACTACGGACGCCTCCAATATTGGTCGGATTTCCATTACTATCAAACGCCCCTATACTGTTAAAAACCGTTGTTGAGGAAATAAATGTGACTTGTCTATAAATATTGCTTATCGACCTTGGGTTGAACGAACTTCTCCGTATATATATAATTCAATATCTCAAAATTACGACTGATTATAACCAGACTAGACTGTCCTTGTTTTGCTTAAAGAAATGACCTTTCAGGATTAGATCCTTGTTTTGCAGAACTCGAATGATATGTGACCCACGCCGATATAATTCGAAAATGAGTAGAACAATCCAGATCGAATCAAACTTTCAATCGATCGAGCTACTCAGGGATCCCATGGATGAAGGCGTGTTCTCTTTTCCTATTGAATTGTATTCAGAGGAGGAAGAGGTACAGAACAATTTACCATCAATAAATTTCCTTCTATTGGACAAACCAGAAAAGAAAATTCATTGACCATCATGTCAGGATTGTGGAAGGAAACAAACAAATCTCTTATGCTTTGTACCCAGCGCTTTTCATGCAAATAGAGAGTGTGCAAGCCAAAAGCTAGAGAATTTCCAAAAACAAAGATGCCAAACCTCAGCACGCCTGAAAAAGAAAGCATTGAAAAGTGACACCGACCGGTTCTTTCTTCTTTCCGAAAGAAGCTTGATGTATAATAATCAACACTAGGGATATATATAGGCCTTAGGAATTCATATAAGCCGTCCTAAAAAGAGATTATATTGTTTTGCGGTTCTGGAAACAGTTCACAAGAGCAATTCGGCCGAAAGATAGTGATCACTCTGCTGCCGTCACCACCATCTTCAACTGAAATAGCTCAGGGCAATAGTTTACTCGCACGGACAACCCCACAAGGACTTTTAAGTAACAAAGGAGTGTACCATAATTTATAAGCCATGAGAAACTTAAAAGAGTCTAAGAACAAAGCCACCATTCTACAAAGTCAATACTTGATAGGACGCTAGAGTTCATCTAAAGGAAAGCATATATAAATGTAAAGCACGATAAACTTCAAGTTCTTGCAGCTACACAACTCCATTGCAAGTGCTTAATCGCCTACAACTCTCTAGATATACACTGGTCAACACAAAATACGGAACACAAGGGAAAACTAGTTCTTGCAGCTACACAACACTGACTACGCTAAAGACACAACCGACTGGACCGAAGAAACAGCTAGTACTTTCTCTTCAAAGATTTGCCCTTGAAAGTGCTGGACTTATGAGCAATACCTTTTAGAAAAAGCAGCCTCCCGATTCTTACAACCTGAAAGAGAAAAGGAACAAAGTTACTGGTACATGTAAACCATCGTCACCAGTCAGCAGAACAAACTAAGCAGAAAGCATACCTGGCAAGTTGTGTATAGGTCGGTAAGGTCAATGATCTCCAAGGATGACATGATAGAGAAACTACTTCCGAGAGCAAGATACGGACAGAGGGTCTCGGGAAAGACAAAAGCAACGCAACGCGATTTGGGAAGGGTTAGGAGCAAGAAGAGGCAAAATAAATATGTTTGCTTCCCATTCCCACTTTTCCTTCTAAAAACAGAAAAGATGGCGAAGGGAGGCAGCAGCCTCATGTAGTGCACGAAAGAGTCAGGTTCTGCCTAAAAGGAATCACGTCATGAAGGCGAACTCGAAAGATACTACAATCTGAAGATGAGAAAGGAAAATTCTTAACTTATCAGCAGCCGATATAGGTGTGATGAACAACTGGGAAGTCAATTAAGGAGGATAAACAATGACGTCACTGAAGACATCGGGGAGAGAGAGACAGACAGACAGACAGAGTCAAGAGTCCTACACTTAAGATCAGTATCAGAGAGTCAGAAAGAGAGGAGTTGAAGAGAAGATTGTACAGTATCTACAGAGTAACTGTTGCTAAGAACTATACCTAGTCAAGAAGGGCCTTGCAAGATTAAGATTATATATAGATATCCCAAAAAGGGAGGACCGGATTATTCATAATTTAACCTCTGAATAGAACATAGATGCTTCAGGCTCCCAATATCAAGAGGTCGGTAGATCCTCCAAGTGCTAAAAAAAATCGTCCACCAGCATTCTTCACAGCTACACAAATATTCTTACCCCTTCTACTTTTCATCCCACCAATTTCCAAATGCAGAATCACTGTTTGTCACAAACTAGAGCCATCTGGGATTACCTCACTCGTCTCTTCAGAAATTCCAACGACCAAAAACCACCAACAGAGCACATACTGCCCTACCATTTGCCAGGAGACTATTGACCCCACCACAGTACATACCGCCTGCACGGTACATACCGCCCTACCATTTGCCAGGAGACTATTAACCCCACCACAGCCATGATCGCTCAAAAGCCGCAGTTAGTTCAATGTCGAGCTGACAAAACGCTACAGATACTACCAACCAAATTATTCATTTTATGTACACTCTATCTAAATTCGCTTCTACGGATAACACTCCTTCCCACGAAGCCCAGCCGGGGGCTTCCCCACCACCTCATTCATCAGTGACATCAAGATTCAGAATGCGACGGAGAGTCTCAGTCGCGGAGTCAGCACTGTGGAAGAAAGCCTTAGCGGATGGTTTGCAGTCCCTAGTAGGAGAAGCAGGAGCAGATTTTGCAATGGGATGATGCATCACCATGCCATCAGGAGCGGAGCCGGGCAAATCGAGAGAGACGGTCCTCTTCGGGCGGAGGGAAAACTTGGGAATCGGCAGAGAACTCGGCGGGGGCGAGTTCGAATAAGCTGGCCCCGCCCACAGCTCGGAAAAGGACAGGTTCCCACTGGAGAAATCGTCACAGAAAAATCTCTCGTCACTGACAGGTTTGGCCTTGATGGCGATGGGCGTGCTCCGAGCTTTCGGTTTCAAGCCGGTCTCATCAGACACTGAACTAGCAGAAGGCGGAGGAGTTACCAAGGAACAAGGCGGAGCCGGAACGATCTCCGCCGCATCGCGAGCCTTACGCGGGGTCGGCAAAATGCCCGCCCCGGATTGAAAAGCCCTGCAGCTGATCTCTCTGAAGCATTTCGACGGCGAAGGATCGAGCCTGGCCAGGCCGTCCGGTTTCGCCCGGCCGCAGTATTGATTCCGGTGCTGCGCCACCACCACGAGCGTCTCCATATCGAGAATCCCTGCACCACAGGCACGTCACAATCAAAGCCGCCCTCAGTCCCGATCGGCACCACAAATTAAGCTCGGAATCTCACACGCACACGAAGCAGATCTACACCGCGAAGAAAAAGGATCGAGGCTCGGTTCCCCGTACCGAATCAGTGAGAGCGATGATTCCACGAGTCGAGCATGCACCAGATCTTCGCAGGTTGCGATCACAGGCATAGATCACACTAAAACACCCCCCCGCCAGAAAATCACTACACGGGAAGGAAGGGAAACAAAAAAAAACGCGATGAACACTAAGCAGACGACCGGAGAACGGTACCAACACGGCCAACTTCTTACTGACAGCGCGCACCTTCGGGACGAGAGGGGGATATCAGAGAGATCCGAGCGAGTGACGGCGACGGCGACGGCGACGAAGATGATGAGAGTTGAAACCCTCGCGAAGAAGACGAAGAAGAAAGAGGAGGAGGAGAAGACGGAGATGGACGAAGGGAGGATAGGAGGGAGGAGGAGGAGGTGGCGGCAGAAGATATTACGGATCTGAAATGACATTCATAGCTGAATTGAAATGCCGGGGTTGACGTCTCTGCAAAGTGAAGCATCTCCCTGCGAAATGGGGCTCGGTTTCTGGATTTATTTACTCCTGTGCCACTGGAAAGTGTGAAACCTTATCCTTAGGTTTGCCCTTTTGGGATAATGGCGACACGGCGACAAGGCGGTTCCCAAACTCTGGTTCAATGTGCAATGTGACTCTTGAATTTTTAATTTATTCAATGCTATCATTGGATTTTATCCAAATATGTAATATAATTCATAATTTTTTAATTTATTCGATATAGTCTCTAAACTGGATAATATCGAACATTTCCATATAGAGACGACATTGAAAATTATGTACAGAAAGTTCAGGGATTATATTGGACAAAGTAAAAATTCATGAACTGCATTGCCCATTGGGCCGAATTTTATGGATCACATTGAACAGCTTAAAAATTCATGAACCATACTGGGCGTTTGGCCAAAATTTAGGGATCATTTGTGTCAATTTCACTTCCTTTTTCGCCAAGTTGGTCGCTAAATTATATTTCTATTCTGTGGAGCTAAATTCGAGGAATGAGAGAATGTCCGCTTCTGTGCTCATCACATGACACTTGACTTTATCTATGTAATCGTCCCGTGCCAAGCCACATGGTGTGAAAGTGCTGCATGGCGCATGATCGATCAATTAGTACCAATTTGTTAATCTATCATCCTGGGAATTCTATCATTTACTAGATTTTAGACTAATTTTTCTAAAAACTATTTATTATGAAATTGAGATAATTTTGCAGAAAAGATCTATGGAAAAGACTAGTTCTCCAGTTTTAATTTGTTAGTTTATTATTCAACAATTAATCAATTACACAAATTAAATTGATATTTATCCAAGTCGAGTTTGAAATGGATTGAACATCTGTTTAAGTCGAAAATTATGGATGGAAAATCTTGAATTAGCCAATTAGGTTCAAATACAAAAATCAAAAGCTCCTCTCGTCCTCTTTATAAATAGGAGGCCCCTCTATTTATTTCGACAACATTGACAAATAGAGATATATCGACTAATGGAGGAAAATTTTGACACTAAAAGATCGCAAATCTCCGCTATATGTAAGAACATGCAATTGTTTTCTTCTCCTCAATAAAATTGATCGAAAGCTATCTTCAAGATCATGTATAAGAAAAAGTTTTCTTGAAATTGCCCTCTTTAATTTCTCATATTCATATTGTCCTGTAATATGTCCATGAAGAATGTCTATTCATTGCACCTTTTATATTTAAATATATTAGTATTACAATGTGTTTCTTTTGTTTATGTTAATTAGTCGATGGTATTTTTAATTAAATGGTTTATGAGTGAAAAGCCTTATGGAGCAATAAAATGTAAAGAGTGTAATTAGCATGACACAAGAAACGTTGTTTTATGAAAACGGTGTTAAATAAACATTTATTATCGGGTATAACCAAACATTGATTTTAATTAAGCAATAGTTAAATAAACTGTAAAATAAGTTAAATGATTATACATCCTGTCTATTAATAAAAACAACACCTAAGTTCCTAGGTGAGATTGAAAAACGCTGTACTACCTGCTTCTATCGAAACTCCTATCCCTTATGTAGTAAACTAGCTAGGGTTCTAAAAAGGGGCGAAGTTTGTTGCATCGGGGGAAGGAGGGTAGTTAGCCTACAACATCCTTTCGAGTCTAGAGTCGCCATCGATCAATTTTCTAAGTCGATTGGGAAATTAAAGTTATCCTAAGTCTTAGTCGGTAGCCTACTCACCTAAAAATGTCAATTGGATTAATATCACATTTCTCAGGTTCGTCCTTAATAATGCTTAAATCAAATCATTCCCGATCTCGATGATTATAGTTCTAACATTTAAGATCGAAATTCCATTAACAGAATTTAGCCCGAATTATGACGTCAGCATTTGGGAAATGACGTGGCTTCACCTTAGTCACCCATTTGTCAACTCCACATCTCTAATTTGGCACAATATGGTGATGTGTGGTGGAGTCGAGAGATTTCGAGAAGTTTTCTTTTGCTAACATAAGTGTATGGAAAAGTGTTTAATGTGAAGCGTTTGAATGAAAGTAAGGTTGAAGTTCACTACTTAGGCTTAAAGGACTAAGGCACCCGCCAGGGATAAAACGATTTCGGGATAGGAGAAGTTCACCACCAAAGCTTAAAGGAATCTACCAGTCGAGGATAAAAAGACTTCTCGGTTCACTACCAAAGTATAAAGGCACACGCCACCAACCAAAGATAAAGAACTGAGATGAGAAATTCGTTCTCCCGAGGAACATCTCACGTATCAATCAATATCCGCATTCCGCTAGTTGGCGATCCGATTTCTTTCGCGGCACGCGTCAATCTTCGCCGGCGGTACCTTAACTAGTTCACTCTAAGAGATTCTATCAATCAACACCAAAGCCACATGGCAATCAAGAATCAAGAAACGGTCACGGTAGACAAGTTCCCGTCGAATCGGGGCAAAATGACATCTTCTTGACGAATAAGCTCGCCACATGAAAATATGGAAAGTCCGATAGAAGTTAGGAAATTCTCTCGATCTCCCGTTTGTCATTGTGACAGCAACCCCATAACCACAAGGAACTGATACAATGAGATGACAGACAATAGCAACAACATTAGAAAACCAAAGTCCTGAACAAAGGCATCATCAATCTAAATCACATATAATCCCAGCCTCCGGAGCAAAGAGAGATGAAACCCCGACATCATGGGATTCGATCCGGAGAATCATTGCAACGGTCGTTGTCGGGGGAGTCCCTCTGCACACGCGACGTCGCGAGAGGCGCGTTTTGTCGACCCGGGTCCCACCTCATGTGGGGGCCCAGCCAGCATAAGACAAAATAAAAGGAAAAGAAACAAAAGTCAAAAGGGTCAAAAAGAAGGAAACAAAAAGAGAGTGCTTCGTGCAAGTGTGCCCGAGGGAAGGAGAGAGAAAAAAAGATAAGTGGAGCGCACCGAGAGCTTCACCGCGAGTGCAGGGGAGAAGAAGGAAGGAGGAGGAGGCTGAATTTTGTAGTCCCGATTTCGAAGGCCAAATATTGTCGGAATTGGCTCAAATTTTAGTACGTTGTTTGTGAGATCGAGGGCTACGAATTGATAGGTTTTGTTAATTGAGAATCTTCTCCAAATTCTCTAATCACGATTAGGATTTTTTCCTTCTTTTACGTAAATTCACATTTATAGTAATGGAAATGATATTGTATTATTGATGTTATGCCTCTAGTGTATGACCAGAGAAGAACTTTGTGTATCTTACTATTCTTGATGATTAATGGAAGTTTTTGGGGCGGTTCATGATTTTTCCCTCGTTGGATTTCCACATTAAATCTTGGTGTCGTTGTTGCATTTGTCTTCTTATTATTGCAAGGTTGAATTACTGGAATATTATTGGTTGTTGCTAGGATTAAGTCGATTTTGGTCGGTTTAATTATGGGGGAGATATTGATCCTGGATTGGGCTTAGTTCTTGGTGAATTGTTGCCCCGGTCCTCCCTAACAAAATGGTATCAGAGCTAGCGTTGAGATTCTAGTATTGAATGGAGGAAACTAGTGGCATCATGTTTAAGTTAAATGCCTCGAATTACAACATTTGGAAGCCTCGGATGGAAGACATGTTATATTACAAAGATTTGTTTGATCCCGTTAAGGGTGATGAGGCTAAAGGAGATAAGCAAGACAAAGAATGAGAGTGAATGAATCGGAAAACGGTTGGGTTTATTCGACAATGGATTGATGATAGTGTGTTTCATCATGTTGCTCAAGAAACGAAAGATGACACTTTGTGGAAGAAATTGCAAGATCTTTATGAGAGGAGAACCCCACAAAATAAAGCTTTTCTAGTTAAAAAACTTGTGAATTTGAGATACAAGGAGAGAAGTAGCATGTCAAAATACTTGAGTGAATTTCAAGATGCTGTAAATAAATTGACAAATCTTGAGATTGACTTAGGGGATGAATTGCAATCATGTCTATTGCTTGATACTCTTCCCGATAGTTGAGACACTTTGATTGGCATTAAACGATTTGGCTCCTTTCAATGTGCTTTCTATGAGCATGGTCAAAGAAAGCCTATTCAACGAAGAAACAAGGAGAAAAAACTTGAATTATACTTCTAAATCGGAGGCTCTTGTCATAGAAATCAGGGCGACAACTCAATTGAGAAAGTTTCGGAGTAATTATAACAAGGGCAAGTCAAGAAGAAGATTAAAGTCAAGCGTGAGGAGGAGTGTGAAGTGTTACAATTGTGGCAAGATGGGACATTATGCCAAAGAGTTTGGTTGCCAAAGAGAGATAAATCTCATGACAAAAATGGAGATCAAAATAAAGAAGAGAAACAGATTACAACAGCAGTTGCATCTGATGGTGATATTATGTTTATATGTGATGATGGTTGTGTGAACCTTACATGCCAAGACTCTAGCTGGGTTGTTGATTCTGGAGCTTCATTTCATGTCACCTCACGGCGTGACTATTTTATTTCCTATCACAGCGGTGATTTTGGTTGTGTTAGGATGGGAAACGGCGGTGTTTCCAAGGTTATCGACATGAGAGATGTTCATTTGGAGACCGACGTTGGATGTAGTTTGCTTCTGAAAAATGTGAGACATGTTCCGGACATTCGACTTCACTTGATTTCCACATGTGCCTTAGATGATGATGGTTATTGCAATACCTTCAGTGACAGCAAATGAAAATTGACTAAGGGTTCCATGATAGTGGCTAAGGGTAAGAAGACATGCACTCTCTACACCATACAATCTAAGTTGGTCAAGGAAGATGTGAATGTAGTGGAGGACTCATCAGTTGACCTATGGCATATGAGACTCGGTCATCTCAGCGAGAAGGGGCTTGAAACTCTTGCGAGAAAAAATCTCCTACCATTAAAGGAGAGAAATCTGAAGGAATGTATGCATTGCTTTACAGGTAAGCAACATAGATTTTCATTTCATAATTCCTCTCCACGTACGAAATCAAATGTACTTGATTTAGTTCACACTGATGTTTATTGCGTGGATGCTAGAACACTTGGTGGTGCATTGTACTATGTGACATTTATTGATGATTGCTCTAGAAAGGTGTGGGCTGTTGCTTTGAAATCTAAAGACCAGGTGCTTGCTGCTTTCAAACAATTTCATGTCAACGTGAAAAGAGAAACCAGAAAGAAGTTGAAATGTGTTCGAGCTGACATTGGTGGTGAATATAGAGGCCCGTTTGAACATTATTGCAGGGATTATGGTATCAAGCTTGAGAAGATTGTTCCAAAAACACCACAAGAAAATGGAGTGGCAGAGAGAATGAACCGGATAATTAATGATCGGATTCGGTGTATGCTCTCCCATGCGAAGTTGCCCAAGTCGTTTTGGGGTGAAGCGATGAGAACGGCAGTGGACTTGATAAATCTTTCTCCATCGGTTCCTCTTAAGTGGACTCGAGATGCTAGAAACGGAAACTCCTCCGTTTAGAGCGTCTTCATCGGTGCCAACCCGTATTGCCGGACGATACTCCCCTATTAGATGCGTAGAGGGTCGATTTATCATTTTTAATAGATTTTGTCCTTTTTTTCAAGGCTATGTATTCAATGTTAATGGTTTATATATAGATATGTAACTGACTAACTAGAGCCTTAGAGGGACGACGGAGGACACACCTCTTTCTTTTTCCATCCTCTTTTGCAGCGACGACTATCTGTGCATGGCGTATCTGCATTCCATCAGATTCGTGCCGATCGAATAAGCACAGCAAGCACGATTTGATTATTTTAATTTTCATGACAAGTAGCTCGATGAAAACTGCACAAAGACACTGAGCTTTGAGATTTTCATGAATAACAAAGTGAAGGCAAATGCGTGGAAGGCAGTCATGCGGTCCTGATGCGTCAACGATGATGTCAATAAAACTTTTGGACATTATGCTGCTTAAAGTTAAAGATGATGAGATCTTTAAGGGTGTCAAAACCCTTAACCACTAATGATACCAAAGAATAATACTCATGTAATATGAACATTCCGTAGCAGCTTTGGAGCGGTCATGCTCGAAGGGGGTCACTAGCGCCGGTCGCCCTTCTCCACCGTCTTTCTCTCTCATGTCAGGTGAGAAATGAGATCTTACAATGAGAGCATCGGTTGGCCCATGTAATCTATCTCCCGTTGACATGACTAGACTGTCCAATATCATCTCATTAGTCATTTGCATCCCCGTGAAATCATATACGAAGAACTTTTCACGCATTTATCGTCTGATAAGCGACATGTGTACTTTGAAGATAGTCGTACAACCACGTTAATTTGGGAGTCATTTACGTTAGTATGTACCTTAGAAATTAGTTATTTCCTGTACCATGAAATAAAATAAGACAGTGGAATCTATCCCGTCAATGTGAAAGTTTCAAGAAAGGTGAAATTACAAGGAAGAACTAGAATATGGCCGAATCAACATGATGGGAGGGCATTGCATTCTCGTTTAGGAAAATCTATGGTAATACAATGAAACAACAAAAAACATGATGTAAGAAGCACCAGCTCAGGTCCTCTTATTACTGAGCCATTACGTAGCAAATTTGAATGGACGGTAATCACAGAAGCTAACAGCTAGAGAATCGCAAGAAAGGGTCATGGACGCTTTCAGCGATTCGCGGTCACTGCCGTCACCGCGTTCTTCTGCATCTGCGACGTCGCGAGATGCCTAAACGAAGACTCCGTGTCCTGGCAATGCACAGCCAGGGGACCTTTATGTCCGGGAGCGCCCATGAGTCGAGCGTGGAACAAGTTCTGAACCTCCTCACGTACAAAACCGCGGACTTGGGCTACAACTGCTACGTGCAATCCGGAGCCAAGGGCTGGCGGTGCTACGGCCACGGAGCCTGCAGCGGGGACGTAGCCGTGCATGCCGATTGCACGACGTGCATCACACCGCGCTATAGTCGAGATCACCGCCGCGTGTCCCGTGACCGCCGGGGCGGCGATCCAGCTTCATGACTGCAGAGTTGGATACGAGAAACTACGAGTTCAGGGAAGAGGCTTGATTTTTATCCATTTCACCGAAGAAAAAAGCGAGACAAAATTGCTTTGCATGCCGTTCTAATAATGCTCACCGAAGTTGAGAGGGAAAAAAAGGGTGTGATTCTTATTCCTTTTATCGTGAGCTTCTTACTGTAAATCCAATGCATTGATTGTGTTTCGTAATCATGAACGTGGATCCCCTAAATTTTGTGATCTTCTAACTATGCTCACCGAAGATGAGGATAGGATTTTAGTTTTCAAAGTGAAGATGTGATCTCATACCATAGTAAGGAATATGAGAGAGTAACAAATGCATTTCTGTATTTGTATTCAATGAATTTAAGATGAAAATCATATAGACAATCGGAGACTGGGGAAGATACATAATATAAAGGGGAAATTCCAATTAAGGACCTCAAGTGGGGTCAAATTCTCAAAAAATGGTCCAAAGTGAACATTGTGTCAAATAAAGGCCTGAAGAGCTCAATCAGTCTCAAATAAGGATCCGAAGTGCCCAAAAAGTCTCAAATAAGGACCTGGGTCCTCGGCCGGCCAAAATACTGCCGGCCGGCGAGAAAGTTCTGTTCCGACAAGACAGAACTTTAATTTTTTTATTATTTTCTTTTCTGTTTTTCCTTTTGTTTTTTTTTTCTTTTCCTTTTCCTTTTCTTTTTTTTTTCTTTTCTTCCTCCGCGGCCATAGCCGTGCCGGGCGGAGGTCGCCGGCCTCGGGCGAGGCCGCCCCGTCGGTGTCGGCGAGGGCCGCCTCGCCGGGTGGGCGAGGTCGCCTCGCCGGGTCTCGGGAGAGGCCGCCTCGCCGGCGTCGGGCGAGGGCCGCCGCGCTGGGCGGGCAAGGCCGGCCTCGCCGCGCGCCGGCAAGGCCGGCCCCGCCTGGGCCTCTAGCGAGGCTCGACCTCGCTCGGCCGGGCGAGGCGGCCGATCTGGCGAGGCCGAGCCCTCTCTCTCCAGCCTCGAAGTTCGTCCGGTCGAAGCCGTGGGAGGAGGAGCAGGGCCTCCTCAAAGGACCCAGGGCCTGCATCACCGCCTTGAGCAGCATCGAGAGGAAGCGATTCCAGACGATCTTCGACTTTGCTTCGACCGGATGAACTTCGGCGTCGGGCGAGGCCGGCGAGGTCGAGCCCCCCGCCGGCCGAGGTCGAGCCCCGCCGGCCGGCGGGGCCAAGCCCTCGCCCGGATCCGGCGAGGCCGGTCTCACCCGGGACGCCGGTGAGGTCGAGCCCTCGCCCAGATCTCGGGTGAGGCTCGACCTCGCCGGCAGGCGGCGAGGCCGGCCTCGCCCGGCTCGAGCGAGGCGGCCCTCGCCCGACGCCGGCGAGCGGCCTTGCCTAAGGCCGGCGAGGCGGCCCTCGCCCGACGCCGGCGAGGGCGGCCTCGCCTGAGGCCGGCGACCTCCGCCGGCCCCGGCTATGGCCGGCGGAGGAAGAAAAGAAAAAAAAAAGAAAAGGAAAAGGAAAAGAAAAAAAAAACAGAAAAGGAAAAACAGAAAGAAAATAACAAAAAAATTAAAAAGTTGCTTGTTCCGGTCAAAGACGAACTTTCTCGCCGGCCGGTAGGTATTTTGGCCCACGGGGACTCGAGTCCTTATTTGAGACTTTTTGGGCACTTCGGGTCCTTATTTGAGACTGGTTGAGCACTTCAGGCCCTTATTTGACACAATATTCACTTTGGACCCTTTTTTGAGAATTTGACCCCACTTGGGGTTCTTAATTGAAATTTTCCCTAATATAAATAACGAGAGCCTTTGAGTAAGAAAATCCTCTCGAACATCGAAATGAATAGGTTCATGGCCACTAAGGCCAAAGCCGCCGAACTAGCAATCCGGTTGAGCTACACTCATGCGTTCTTTATTTTAATGTGCCGGTGCTCCCTAGCTCTTCTATTAGAGCGGTATCTTTTTCTCACCCCTGTCCCCGATAATACCCAGCTTAACACTTTTTACCTTCTGCGGGCCGATGTAGCCTTTTAAGGACATGCTAAGGTCCGAATCGTGCCCGAAAGAACATTCCCCTCAAACATCGAAACGATCTACAAGTCAAAAGCTGTAGGCAATCGGTGCCCTCAAATTTAACGTAAGAATAATCGAATCACTGCAGCATTGTGTCGGCACCAAGACGTCCCAAGTGCATGCCAAGTGCCAGAAGTTCCCAAGTGAAAGTGTACACTCATCGCCCTAAATGTCTCTCAACGATCGGTGGTCATGGTCACCGTTTCCTTTATAAAAGGTCCCCATGCAACGCGATTCCAAGGCGTTGCACCACAACTTGCAACCGCATCCCTCGTTCAGTTTCTTTAGTCGCCCAAAAGAAGAATGAGCCAGGAACAACCCCGGAGGCCCCAGGGTGGTGCGGACCCCATCAAGTACGGCGACGTGTTCGATGTCTCCGGCAAGCTCCAGGCGGAGCCGATCATGCCGCAGGACACGGCCACCATGCAGGCTGCCGAGAACATGGTGCTGGGCCAGACCCGGAAGGGTGGCATCACGGCTGTCATGCAGTCGGCCGCGGAGGTGAACGTGCAGACCGGAGCGGTGAAGCCCGGCCAGGTGAGCCACGTCGTGAGGGACCAGGGCATGACCATCTCGCAGGCGAACATCGGCGGCAGGCGAGTTGTTAGCGAAGCAGTCGGTGGCCAGGTAAAGGCAGCAGACCCTCAAGTCTAAATAACAGAACATGAACTCTATTTCCGGGACAAGCTTTTCGGCTTATGAGGACGGCTTTGATGTCGCGTTTGTCGTTCCGTCAGTAGTAATAATAGCTTGTGAAATTGTCTATTGCATGAAGGTTGTGGGTGGATACGTCCAACCAGCCGTGGACACCGGAAAACCGGGAGGAGCTCTCAACCGCGACGCCATAACAATCGGCGAAGCGCTGGAGGCATCCGCTCTCTCTGCAGGAGACAAGCCAATGGAGCACAGCGACGCGGCCGCAATACAAGCGGCCGAGGTAAGAGCCACCGGCAACAACGAGACCGTGCCTGGAGGAATTGCATCTCTGGCTCAGGCCGCCGGGACGCGCAACACCAGGACTGCGGCTGATGAAGACAAGACCAAGCTCGCTGATGTTTTGATGGTAGTTAATGGCGGATTGGAGTTGGCTTCTCAGCAATAGATGCAATGGAAATTATCCTCCACTATTTTATCATGGTTTTGCAAATGATACATACAAACTACTTACAAGATTTAATTTATTCGCCAATTTCAAAATTCAATTTTCCTTAAAAGAGAAAATCATCCATTTTCTCTACCCGGAGTCACCAAACCTTTTGCTTCGCAGGTTGCAACGGACGTTTCTGCCCGGGGACAAGGCGGTGACGCGGGAGGACGCCGACAGGATGATCGTGGCCGAGATGAGGAACAAAATCGAGGTGACGACCACTTCCGGCGGCGTGGCAGAGTCCATGGCGGTGGCTGCCAGGCTCAACCAGCACAAGTGATCGACTGATGGGCCAAAAAGGAACAATGCGGTCGCGAGCTTTGTAAATAGGAGGAGCAGATGCTTTTGAAGAGAGTGGCAGTCTTGTGTTTCAGCACCTAAAGTATGCCATAGGTGTTTGCACTTTGTGTTGGAATAAACGGCGAGGCTTTTTCAGTTTGAAGCTGACCGGGATTTGCCATGACGAAGGTTAAAAAGCGGCTGTTTTTTAAAGCTCTATTCGTTTTACGAAAAATAACTTTCAAAAAAGTATTTTTCAGTATTTATTTCACGGAAAACATTTTCCTTCTTATAGACAAAACTCCTTCACATTTGAGGAAAATGACAAAACATTTTCCCGGAAGCCTTCTTTTACCATTTATTTTCTTTTTTCTTTTTTTTTTCCTTCTTCTTCTTCTTCCTCAGCCGGTCGCCGGTCATGGCGGCCAACAACTGGCCAGCTCGAGCCTCACCACAGGCTCCGACTATGGCAAGGCTCTAGCGAGGTCGAGCTCACCCAAGGCCGGTCAAGCGAGCTCAGGCCTCGCCAGATCCGGCGAGCTAGGCAAGGCGAGGTCGCTAGACGTCGGCAAGGCTCGAGCTCGTCGGCCTCGGGCAAGCTTGGCCTCGCCACAAGCCGGCGAATCCGGCAGGGACATGCCTCGCCGACTCGTGGCGAGGCTCAAGCTCGCTTGTGGTCAATCGTAGGCCACCGCCGTGCCCTGGCGACACACGGGAGAAAAAGGAAAAAGAAGAAAAAGAAAATTACAAATATTTTTAATAAATAAAAATTATTAAAAGTATTGCAAGGAGGAAAATCTTTTTCTTACCGAACAACGAAAACTATCTTCCGAGACTTTTTCAGATTTCAACCGAACACCAGAAAATTGTGTCATTTTTCAGGAAAATGACTTCCGGGAAAATATTTTTTAGAAACGTAATATTTTCCGCAAAACGAACGAAGCCTAAGAGTCCTCCCGGAGCAATAATCCAGCTTATGACCCCCCTAATTGGAAAAAGTTTACACTTTGATGAAAACCAAGTTAAAAAAAACAGACAAAACAACTGCTATTTTAAATTAACTAAGACATTAACATTCAGAGAAAATTAAAGGGCAAAGGAGATGATCCATCATCAGTGAAAAGCAGGTTTTCATTTGAAAATCGTTTCTAATGTGCCCACTAAACAGATCTTCCTCAAGACAGTCAAAGCTGCAAAGTGCAGATCACAAGATTCACAAACTCAAGACATCAGGTCAAAGCTGCCCAAAACTGCTGTTAATGTGAGAGAGACCAGAACTGTTTTTTATTCTTCTCTGTCCATAACCTGCACTCTACCGTCGTTCGATGCAATCTGTACAATGGAGGAGACGCAACAAGCAAAAAGAAGAGAGGCCCTGTAAGCAGGTACAGCAGAAAAGGTTGTCCGAAAGGAAAGCGGAGGGATCTGTAACGGGCACTGCTCCTCTTAAAATGACTATGTACAGTAAAACAAGCTGCACCCAAAACTCAAAAAGCATGAGCCAAGCAGCCACAGTGTCTACAACTACAAGCACAGCACCAGCAACCGAGAAGCTATAAGACCTCAGCGTCTTACTCTTATCTACAGGGGATGACATTAACATCTGTCTGTGACTTGAGAAACTCAGCTTTGTGAGACATCACAAAACTTTTTTACAATCCGAAATCAAACCCTCCCTCATTGTCCTTCAATGAAACACGGTCCTTGTAAAGGCTCTCGGCAAGCACCGTTGGGCATCAGAAAGTTTGCTATAATACCTAAAAGCTCCTTCGCGCGAATCCCTCCTGATTTACTGACTATGGGCAGGAGCAGGAAGAAATCTAGTTAAATAAGAATGTTACCTATGCTGGTTAGCAAGTTCCCATCATCCCGGCATTACCTCAGGCATCGCTGCACATGCGCACAGCAAACAGCCGCACCCGGTTACAAAAGTCGGCTAGCGGGAAAGAATTGGAAAGGCAATCAGTATTTATCACAAATCCAGGTACCAAGAGCAGAGTCAAGTTTGTCCAGTCGCCTATTTGACTAGTAGATGCCATCCACAGGTTGCTTGTTCAAGTCTGGCATGACCTCGCGGGACATGCGATGTCCATTGCTGGTCGGAGAGAGTAAACAGGTTTTCTCAGTGCCACTCTTAGGAGCCTCAAAAGATTCTTGATTCAGGACATCGACGCAATCAGAGTCCACCATTCCTTGGTATGTAACCATTCCATTAGCTTGACAAGGACTAGTATTGCAGTCAACAGAGGGAACTGCGAAACCACCATTTGCGACAAGCTTCGATTCCTCATCAGCTGAAGGGCAGACTTCATTCGAGGGATTGCTATGCATCACTTCCAGAAGCTGATTCCAAGATCCTGTGGATGGTGTGCACCCATCAGAAGGTGCAGAGCTCACTTGGTGCGCACCTTTACTGGATTTGAGTTTATCCAAAAGCATCTTTCCATCTGAATCAGAAAGACATTCAGCAGTACTCAACATTTCGTCCCTTGCATCATGAAACGTCTCACCCGAACAGTTGAACCCATTTGCAGGAGCCAACACCTGCTTGTCAGCATCGACATCTCCAGAACTTTCTTCAGAATGTCCAATGTGAGAAGTGGGGAAGCCGCCAGCAGGATTACTTTTGCGATCAACATCACTGTCTACAATTTGAGCACACTCTTCCGGGGCAAGGTGATCCACAAAGTCTGCTCTATCAAATATAGAGCAAGATTCTGCACATGAATGGCCTGAGTCAGCATGCAGTTTGGCATCCACTTTCAAAGTCGCGATATGTGAGGTTGGAAGAAACGAACCGCATATACCATTATGATTGAGATCAGTCCCTGAAAGATGGGTAAAATTGTCAGATGCAGAAGGCACAGTACTCAGGGGAACAGTCTTCCTGTCTGCAGTATCATAAGGCTCATCTAATTGGGCCAAATCTTCTCTCTCATTCTGATTGAGATCAGTCTCTAAAAGATCAATAAAATTATCAGATGCAGAAGGCAGTGTGTCTGCGGGAATATCCTTCCTCTCTGCAGAGTCATAAGGCTCATCTAAATGGGCCAAATCTTTTCTCTCATTCACCAAATGTTCTCTTTCATTATGATTGAGATCAGTCTCCAAAACATGGGTGTTATTGTCAGATGCAGAAGGCACAATGTTCAGGGGAACATTCTTCCTCTCTGCAGTATCATGAGACTCATCTGATTCGGCCAAATCATTTCCCTCATCCCGATTGAGATCAGTCTCCAAAACACGGGCAAAATTGTCAGATAAAGGCAGTTTGTGGGGATGGACATGATTCCTCTCTTTAGTGTCATAAAGCCCGCCTAATTGGGCCAAATCCTTTTTCTCTTCCAAACAATCTGAGAAGTCAACACTGTCACTAGTTATGTCAGATGTATCATTTAGCGAACTGTCTACGAGCAGAGTAGATTTATCAACAGTAGGTGCGCCATTGATATCATGCTCATCAGGTGTTGTCGACAGTGTTCCTTCCATCATATTAATATCAGGAGAAATTGTTCCTTCCATTGTGTTCACATCTGGAGAAGTATCTTCACAAGTAGCATTCAGATCTAGCAAAAGAAAAGCAAGGGCACATCAGGACTTGTTCTTGCCTCATAAATCATGATCTCCACAATTTATTTGAAAAAAAAATTAGTTAATTGTTATTAATATAAACTAAAAATTACCTGTAGGAAGAACTGCTTTTTCTTCAGCATTATGATGATTCAACAACAGCTTCTGCAACATATCTACACCAGGGAACACCAAAATATTCATCCTTCTCAAGCTTTTCTTAAGTGACACGTCTATTGGCTCAAAACCGAATACAGAGGTCCACGTTTCCTTGAGTTCAGAAATTGCAGGTATGACCAACTTTTGGACCTTTAAAGAGCGCAAAACCTGAAAATTTGGCTTGCAGAAAGTTAATCACAAAAGATTACTCAAGTATGATACAATAAACTAGAACGAAAAGTCACGTAGATTCACAACCACGCAAACGAATCTCCAGTGAAAAATTTTACATGGAAAAGAAAAACAATACAGTTCCACCGAAGCAAACTTATTAAACGTATTGAAGCATACTTAACTAACATTGATTATCAACCAATCATCAACAATTGTGTCCAAAACCGATTTCAGTGATCCCACAAAATGTTATATGGACCAGGAATAGTGCTTCAACAGTCCATTTGTCATTTAAATCGAATAAAGACACAGAGGACTAAACAGAGGTTAAACAAATAAATTACTCTATGCAGGTACATATTAATAAAGAGTGTTCTGGCATCCAGAATTCCATATTTACCCAGTTGACCATATTTTTAATTCTGATTGACATTATTGAGCACAAAAATATACGCATTTGTATAGCAAACCATGTGACTATTTACACGTTAACATTAACAGATATCTCTTTCAACCCACCCCCAAGCCCCAACCCCTTCAAGCACAGTTATGCATGTGACAGAGATGGTTATTGAGCAACACTGCTGAAAGCAAAATTTTTCTCAACTACAACTGATCATTTCTAACCAATAAGTCTGTAAAGTGTCATATTACAACAGAGGATAATGCAACTGACCATACCATTAGATTCCAGATTTCTAAAACTTCGAAAATCGGGAGTCAAAAATCGAATTACCAAGTACCCAAGAAAAACAAATAGTCATTGCAAGAAATCCACAATTCTAAAACTTTACGTAAAACTTCTCACAACAAATTAAAAACATGTTTCTAAAATGCATCAACCAAATTGTATGTATGTGAAGACAAGCAGCCAGTTAAACTGCAATGTAAAAAGCTCACAGATTCAATTCCATTTAGCAGCCGACGGCACATCCCTTGACGCCGATACATATAACGGGTCCCAATAAATGGCATCTCTGCTAATTGATTCCCGTGAATCCTGAACCATATGTGGATAAAAACTGTCAATAGACAGAGTAAGAAACTCAAGCACACATCAGCAGACAAGCCAATAACTTCTCTGATTCCAGCAAGTTTTACCAGCATTAAGCACTTCAACCGAGCAGCTTTTGATCACAGCATAAGCACAACAAATCAAAGCCAATCATCATTTATTTCAAAGAGCTACACCGGAAGCAAATCATCAAGCAAAAGGCAGACAAGCAGAAATTACCAAAATACATATGTAGAGAATGGATGATTCTACATTGATTTTAAACGTGCTAGAAGGGATATTGCAATTGCAAATGGGTAATGCCATTTCATATTGAGTTGGAAGTAAAATACATGTTAAATCAACATTTCGGTAGAGCAAATCCGTCAACTTATCCGTGCATTCAATCTATAGCTCCACCAAATGAAGACTTCCCTTTCAGGCCTCATATTCTTGGCTAAATTGCATATCTTCCCTTATTCCATACGCCTCCATTTATTAAATCCAGTGCTATGTACTGGTCTTTTAATTGATCAGGATAATAGAAAAGACCTCATGCAGGATATGATGCCATAGATATTACATCACAAAATAACACTGGTTCCATGCAAATCACATGCCAGATATGCCAACTTCAGCATCATCCAGAGGTTGAGTAGTCCCAATTGAAATGTTTTAATTCAAAGTGATAAAATCTGCAGGCTATTGACTTTCTGTTCAATGCCCACAAACCGTCAAACAGACAAAACTATTGTCAATTACTATGACGAAGAATGCTCATGATAGCGGAAATGGGGTAAGTCAGCCAAAACTTACCTGATTGATGCTGCAGATATTATCTCTTCCCCCTTCTCTAAAATTGCTGTATAGAAGCCACTGTAATCTAGCCGACTGAAATTTGACCTGGGGATGACAATTCTCAGTTTTAGTATACATCGGATATATTGGCAATAATACTGGGAAGAGATGGTAAACGTCATCCTGATGAATGTATCAGATACGAGGTGTCCAGCGATTTATATTCAAAATAAGGAAAGCATGAGACTCCGACAGTCACATCAGAAAGCAAACGAATCATGTAAGCTGCCTGAGTTTACAATCAAAGAAAGCATATGACTCCGACAGTCACATCAGAAAAGCGGAGGAATGCACCTAAGAGGATTTGTCAGTTTAAATCCCTGCAAACACCACAAAATAAGGAGCAATCTATTTCTTTAGGGACAAGCCTCAGCAAATGACCGCAAAGCCACCATGTTGTCTCTATTCCAAAAATAAAAGGCACAAAGAGTATATGGGTGGGCAAAAGAAAAGTACAAAAAGGATCGTGAAAGAAAGTAAGAGTACAATTAACAGCCATGCTTGCAATTTCAAATCATTGTAGTTTTTCTCAGTAAGAAATGATAAAACTGAAAGGCACAAAGAAACAAGCATGCGAGTTGTTCATATCACCACTGATAAAATAGAAGGGAAAGAAATCTTCCAGTGTCAATGAACAGTACTAGTGAATAGTATAAAATGGAAGGAAGATGGCCGTTCACTATCTAAAAAATAAAAGAAAGGATATTCGATTCTTCTATTGTATACCGAATTTACGGTTTCTGTGAAAGCGTCACATTCAAATGCGCTTTTCATGTATGGTTACCTAATGTCACGGCAATGCTCCTATTTGGCTCTCACATGTTGTACATCAAGGGAGGAGTAAATTTGCGTAATCAATTTCTCGTCTACGCCATGGAGTACAGCTAGGCACTGACAAGCCAGACCGTGAAAAAATAAAAAGCTCTTGTGGAAGAAGAGGCATTCATGCTTTTCCTGTTTTGTAGTTTTTTCGAAATATCCGTTTAGTACCTTGATGATCAATTATATCCATGTAATGAACCACTTTTTAAAGTTTTCTAATTCTTCCATTAAAGTATCCCGCATCGCTTGTCCACAGGATTTGTTGAGGCACTTTATACATGAGCCTTGCTCCACCTAGCATAAACTTTTGGGCTTAACATTCTAACATGGTATCAAAGCCTAACTTCAATTCTTTAATATTTCATTTCACTTGTGGTTCTTGTCTATTTTCAACCCTATTCATCAATTCCACAAGCCATTCTTTGTCCGATTTGCGTACAAGAGGGTATAAAAAAGTATCTCAAGTCACTTGGTGCAGAGTTAGTTTCGACCTTACTTACATGTAGTTTTCCTTCACTTAATAGATTAAACTTTTCGATACGACATTCTGACATGCTCAATCTACGAAAAGATTCTTAATCTCCCACTTGTGCATAGAATTTAAGCAATCGCTCGAAAACTTAACCTTCAGGACATACTTGAACATGAGTTACACTTATTAAAAGCACAAAATCCACAATATCAGGACCTTTCCCTGACCTTCTTATAGAAAATGAAACTAATTACTTGATTATTTCAGATAAGCACGCTAAATTTAGTCGATTACAAATTCAGATAAAGTTTGCCATTCTTACCCACAATTGTAGAGAATGTTATGGATCATATCGATCCCACTTCTGTGGTCGGAAACAGGCAAAAAACACTCATCCATTACGGACAGTGCAACAGCTACCTTGGAATTGCATTCGACCTTCCTTGATATTTCAGTGGAAGAGATGTCTATGTCCATAAAAAAACGGTGCACGAGAGTAAATGAATATCCTTCCTCCAGTTCATGTTTCACACCGAGAAGCATCCCAACATCTTCATATAGCTGGCATAGGACCAGCACACAATTATCTAAAGACATAGTATAGAAATATAGCACAAAATATGGAAAGCTTATCAAAAATGCCATGCAGCGAGAAATAAATGAGTAACCAAATCCTACATGGACGTCACACTCTGTAGGAAACAGACAACCAATATACAGAAGACACATCAGACGCGAAAATGTCGTAGTTGTCATTTTTCTCAATCACAAAAACTGGAATTTATTGAATGATAATAATTAATGAATATAATAAAACACAGGGCTCACATGTGAGCACAAATGAATTCCAGTATATCCTTTTCATAACTGTACCACATTTATTGCGGTTTACTAAAAAAGAACGCAAGACTTCTTTAAAAATTGTTTAAGTCATCTCCTTGCACAGTCAAATTGAGCTAAATATGTGGACAGTCTAAAAAAGATGGTGGAAGATTCACCGAAAGCAAACAAAGAATGAAGTAAATCTCAAGTTCATAATAACAATAAAAAGAGTTGCATTGAATGCATTACAAATTTCCGGTGATGCTGATGCAAGTGACAATGACTCTCCTAGCATATTTACTTATATGGAAGAAACAGGAAAAAAAAGTACTTTCTGACAGCTCTTGCCACAAAACGACGACAAAATCTGAACATCCTCAACTGCATCCTCTGCAAGTACACATGAGCTGTGATCTGCAATAACAGAAGTCATTCAAATGCTGAGCCAGTCTACGAAAAAGAGCATACATGGAGACAATATGATTACATTTTTCCTCGCATAACCGGCATTTGAATAATGCAGACGATGTTGTAGTTTCATTGCTATCCTTTTCTCTTGTACTCTCACCAATTGTTCCACAATATTTGCAAGAGCAATATAAACAGTGCCAATCACCTGAAGGGAACTTCTGTAACAAAAGGGAAGGATAAGTACATTTTCATTAATGAAACATATTAATTCTAGATTATCCAAGATAAAATAGAATGCTGAAGTGAGCAAAACCTTCTTCAGCTGCATATAAAGCGGATGGGCAAGCAAAAAGACATAATACTAATACTTGATCATTAGAAAGATCGGGGATTAACATAAACCTGATAGAAACTCAAGTGTACAGAGTGCTGACTTAGCAACTATACAGATGATAAGCTGCAGTGGCACATAACAACATACACATGGTTGAATTGTAATATCAAGTCAAAATAATGTTCAGTAGAAAACTAAGTGCCGCAAATCTAAGGCATAAAGCTCAGTTCATTATAACAAACTCCATATATATCCGACAGCACGATTGGGTCATCAGTCATCAACCAAACCTATGTGTGATTAAACTAATAAGCACGAAGGTGGAAAAGTTCTTTTCATGAAATGAAAGCATGCGTTACATACAGAGACGAAAAAATACAGATGGGGAAGTACCCAAAAGATCACTGAGGTCAGGCACAAGAATGCAACTAGCACAAGGAAAAAGAAATTCGAGAAAATACAGTCTGCAAACATACTTGTATATCTAAACAGCTTTGATGAAACGTTGATGGGCAACCATCGCAGCAAACCAAGTTCCCTCCATCTCCACAGATGCCACAAGTGTCATCGTTAGGATCATCTCCACCAACATCTATAAAATGGAACCATTTCTGCCCAGATTCCTCCTGCTTTTTCCAAGAGTCCAGCTGGCACTGCAACATAGACATTCCATTCTCCAAATATATGTTTTCAAGTGGCTGGCCAAGCCTGCTGCCTGCATGAGCTTCAAATTCGGAAACTGTTATCACCTCACCACAGCAGTCACAATGAATACCATCCCTTGTGATTGTACCCCCAAGCTTTGCTTGTGTCTTTTCCGGATGAAAATACTGGACCTTTCCTTTATCCAGGACAGTGCCCAGATCAATCATCCATGCCAGTATAGTCCGTTTGCCACTGTATAGAACATAGTTTTCAGAATCTGGTTGTGTCCCGTCAGAGTTGCGGGCCAACAGAGCACATCTCTTTCTGTTTTGCGTCTCTCGTCGTTTGCGATTCCCAATCAACAATGGTGTTCCTTTTCGAGTTGCCCCGCTCATTTTTTCCTTTCCAGTTAGCAAAGCTTTTCCTTTACTTTTTGCTTGGAACCGTTTATATGCACTTGCACCAAATCTGAGTTTTCCTTTGTGCTTCTTCTTCTTCTTGATTGCTCCATCAATTTTACTACTGCCCTTCTTCTTTCCCTCCCTTTTCTTCGTCATTACCTTGTTTAGTATACTAAGTTCTTCCTTTGGTATAGGCGAGAACACAAAGCCAGTCTTGTAAGCCTTAGATTCAGCATCACCAGCCTCATAACGCCTTTTAAGAACATTATAAGCCAGAGTCACCGACCAGTGAGTTTTTCCATCGGGGCTCACATAAACAGCATCGTTGTATTCTCTTTCTTGCCTAGGCCTGTACTCAATTGTCCACCCCGCGCTCATAAGCAACTCAATTATTCGGTCTCTCACTAAATTCTTCTGTTTACGTTTACTTAGTCCTACTTCTCCATCTTCTTCTGGTTTCAGTCCTTTGATCACACTCTGCTCATTATAACTACTTTGCTCTGACATCAAACTCGGCCCTGATGAAGGCACATTTTCACCCACTTCTAAGTCCACATGCTTACCCTTTTTAGCTGGTGACATCTTCTTCACCTCATATTCATTCCCATTTGATCTCCTACCTCTGTTTGAACTACTGACAACCAAAGTCTGCTCCACACTCTGTTTGGTTTTCGAAATCCTTTCACTTTTTCTCAATCCAGGCATCTTCGCTTTCTTCTTTTCAAGCGCCTTAGGTGGCCTACCACGCTTCCGCTTCAACTTCTGTGAAGATGGCTCAACCAAATCAAAAACCCCATCCTCTTCGGCCTGCTCACTAACGGTCTCCAACCCACGACCTCCTCTTCTCTTTTGCTCGAGCTCAGCAGCTCTCTTCTTGTCCTTTGCACCTTCTTTTCCAACCCCACTACTAACAATAGTCCGTGACCGCAAAACTCGTCCCACGAAGTGCACTCCATCATCTAAAGCTTCCTCCTTTGCAATTTTCTTAATCGGCTCATGACACTGAGTCCCTTCTCCACAACTTTCCCAACTCCTTTTCCTGCTACCCTCCAATGCACCGTTGCACAGACCTTCACCTGTCGACACAACTTCACCACATTCGCTCCCAGAAACTACCATCTTGTCACTTACAATGGCTCCATCTTCCAACGGGACCGCTGACTCCTCACACGCCTCCGCATTGTCCGATGCCAAAGCCGGCGCTTTCCCACCACCCAAGTCAGCACCTTTCGGCATCACGTCAACCAGCTTCTTCTGAACAAGCACTTTTCCGGACACAGGCTCATCTTTCTCCGGTTTCGCCCGCAGCTTGCCTGATCTCAAACCGTCCCTCATCCTTCCCCACCCAAAAAACCACCAACCCTCGAAGAGAACCCGCTCCAATTTCACTTCAATCTCCCCGTGTGAGGCACGGAAAAACCGCAAACAAAACAAAGCTCCCACCGCAGTTAACCAGCACACAATCGCAAGAACCACTCACGACCGCGACGCACGTTACTGTCCCACCACAGCAAAACGGAAACCCGAAACCCGAAACGGAGACATAATTCCAAACACCAACAAAAAAAAAAAAAAAAAAAAAAGGATCACGGACAAAGACACAAGGGGGGGATCAAGATCAAAGGCGACGGCTCCGGGGAGAGGAGCTCTCACCGGCGGCCCCCAGCAATGTCGCAGCGGCCCTACGATCCGGCGGCGGAGCAGGGCGAATCGGCGGGGGGGAACCTGCCCGGCACGTACATCTCGACGAGAATTTGGGGAGAGAATTGACAGAGAAGAACGCAGAGAGAGAGAGAGAGAGAGAGAGAGAGAGAAGAAGAGGAGAGGAGGGGGGGTTGGGTTTAAAGAAGGAGCATCATTTTGGGGGGATTTTACTAATGAGACAAGGGACATAAACAAAAGGGTTTAAGTTTAACGCCCTCCCAACCTCGTCCAATCAAACGTTGTCTCTCTAGGACTGAAATTTTCATTTTTATTTTTTGTGTCTTTGCAATTTTTGCTCTTTGAGAACAAAAACGACCCGAAGTTACTAAGTCGGAACCCCAGTTCGAACCTTTTCCCGGTCCCGGCGAGAGGGGGGGACGGAGTAACTAACTTTTGGTATTCAACCGTATGGGCTTGGCGCCAAATCAGTGCCGCGGGAGACGTTGCCCCGAGTCCCCGGGCCTGCGCGGGAATGGCTTTTGAAATTCGGGAGCGTAATGGCGCGCGAAATGTTATCGTCAATTTATGAATCGGGCGAGTGCATTTTTTTGTGATCGGATGGGATCGGCCCGAGGAGGGGGGTGGAACGGTAAATTACCAAGCCTGTGATTGGATTAACGTGGGATTATTGTGGGGAATGGCAATTAGCATTTCATTAGCGGGGTTAAGGGGAATGGGAATGGGAATGTTGTTGAGTTTTCCCTCCAAACGTGATTTCCCTTTTTAATTCGTTGCCAATTGTTTTCCCTCCATTATTTTGGATGGGCCTGTTTTGGAAGGAAATCTCTGGGTCTTGGGCATTTCTAGGCATGTCAGGTTGTGTTAGCCCAACTAGGAAAAACGCCCGTGGATACCAAAACTAGGAACATGCGTCATTTGGAAAGTCCTTGACAAGAATGGTCCTGTTTCGCCATTTGTTTTGAACCGGAGTAAATGACCTGTCAACGATCGGTATCCACCACGTCGTTGATTTTTTTAAGATCGAAATTGGCAAACCGTCAAAAAGATTTGAGGTTAAATCGGCAAAAATTGAAAAGGTCGAGGACTCAAACTGACCGTCGTGCAACAGGTACAGAATTTTCTGGACAATTTTCCCTAAGGGTCGAGCCGTGAATACTTCGCAGGGCTCGAGATCCGAAGGCCCGAAGTTGGCAAGTCCGTCGCCGTGATCCCATCGAGATCCCAACGACTTCTTGACAATTTACTGTATGTCTTCGACACGGTGCGAGTCGTTTAGAAGTTCGTTCATCACATAAATCGATTTCTTGATCTCGTGGAAAATGGGCGACCCTTTAATTTGAATTTGCAAGTTCAATTTTATTTTATCGCTACTTTTCAACTTTTGTCCGGAGATGATCGTGAGATAATTGGCTATCTTCGTTTTCATTAATTTTATCGTAAAAATCATCATTGTAAATCGATATATTTAATAAAAAAAAAATACTTTTGTTAAGACACGCTTTCAAGTTTGTACTTTCATCATAAGATTCTTTTTGTATTTACCGGTATTATGTCCTTTCTAATATAAATATTCGATATTACCTTAGAAATTCTGTGATCGACCTTTTTTTTTGGGCCTATGAGTTCGACATTTTATTGACAATTATGGTTTGCACAGTATGAGACATTCGCTGTTTCCATACAATGTGTAAACGAAGAAAAAAATTATTTTGTTTTTTTTTACTTTAACTTGTTAGCATTTCTATTTATTCATCATATTTTTATGTTTGTAACGTTGGGTATAACTCACTTAATTTTAAACGTTATAAGAAAATTTCATCTAATAATATTATTTTCGACCCGCGTGGGCACGTGACTCGTTTCTTTTGTAAAATCGAAAAAGAAAAGAGAACCGCGACATAAATGAATTAATTTAATTTAAGCCAGAACTAAACCGACCTTTTGTTGAAGACATGCAGCAAAAGTATGGGGAAGAAATAGACATGTAAATGCAATTATTTTTCAAATTCAAATTAAACCAAAACCCTTTTGTGCATAAACAGCCTTGATAATAAACAACCCAAAAATAGAAAATGTACGTTATATTGTTAAGAAAAAGATTATATTATGAATTGCAATCCCGAGTGCGTAGCAGGTAGTATGCTAATTGCATAAAAGTTCCAAATAAAGATATGAAGTGATATCATTTTCTCATAAAAGGACCCAAAAGCGAATGTTGTTTCAAATAAAGGCCTCAAATGACCAAGTAAGTTTCAAATAAAAGTGTGAAGTGGACAATTGAATCTCAATTAAGGGTTTAAGCTCGCCGGCGGCCAAAATTTTGTCTACTGGCGTGCACTTGATTTTTCTCCGGCAACCGGAATAGGGCAATTTTGTCCAAAACAAAATTTGGACAAAAATTAATAAAGAAAACTCTTACTTGGACTAATGTCGTGATTGCAAAAAATTTAAAATAAAAAAACTAAAATTCAAGTTACCATTTGTCGCAAGTTAGTGTTCGTCATCTTCAAAGTTATTGTTTATCGTCTTCAACTAATGTCGTGATTGTAAAAAATATATAACAAAAAAACTAAAATTCAAGTTACCATTTGTTGCTAGTTAGTGTTCGTCATCTTCAAAGTTATTGTTTATCATCTTCATCCGCACGATCGCTTGGCCAAACTCGTCCGAAGCACGTCCATCAGCTTTCGGATATTCCAGGAGTCTTGTCATCGGATTGGCCACGGCGTTTGCAAGCTTCAAGGTCGGATTTGGCTTCGAAGCTAGGGACCGCCATGGCTGCTCAAGCTCGAAACTTCGCCGGAGGGCGAGCTTGCTTGCTACTCCGATGCCAAACTCGCGAGACCATTCTACTTTCAAGATCTTTCTCGGTCCAGATGGTGCTCTACGATCGAGGAAGACGAGGACCGAGATTGAAGACGCTAAGCTATGGAGATCTCGAGAGCAAAAATGGAGGAGTTGAGGGAGGGCTCGGCCGGCTACTGAAGAATCAAGCACGAGGTGGAGAAGGATGAACCACAGCCAAACGAAGGCGTGACTAGAGAGGGAGGATCTCTTGTTGCCGGAGTTACTCGACCGGAAATTTAGTCATGACGGCGGCGGCGGTGGCAGCTGCCGTGGCCAGATCTGGCGGTTGGTCAAGCAAGGGTCAATAGTGCCGCTAGATACTTGAGATCTGCGCCACGCGAGTGCCACATCGCTATGTTAAATTTTTTTTCTTTATAATCTTTTATCTAGATCGTATTTTGGACAAAAAAATCATGTTTTTTTTTTCTTTACTCTCAGACTTTTGCCCTACCTCCTTACAGAACGTGGAGTTGAAACCCACATCTGAAATTAAATATCCCCATCCCTAGCTCCATGGGGGATCGAACTCCACACCTCTCCCTTCTCAAGTAAAAAGGGTGGTCACTGGAGCAAACCCCAGTGGTTGACAAATATACCCTGTTTCGACAACTGAAAAAAATTCAAGTGTTCGCCGGCCGGTCGGCAAGTTCAGATTCTTATTTGAGACTTGTCTAATTTAAGCTCTTATTAGAAAGACGGTTCATTTTTGTGCTTTTCTTGAAAAAAATAATGGGAAAATACCACGAAAAATCCCAAACTATGCAACTTGTGACAAATTTACCTTGAATTTTTTTTTGTGACACGAAAAACCCCAAATTATGCCACTTGCAACACATTTACCCCACAATACTTTGGCCCATGGACATTTTCTTCTTTTTCCTTTTTCTCTCTCTTCCCTAAGCCAAAGTATTGTGGGGTAAATGTGTCACAAGTGGCATAGTTTGAGATTTTTCGTATCACAAAAAAAGTTCAGGTGTAAATTTGTCACAGGTGGCATAATTTGGGATTTTTCGTGTCACAAAAAAAAGTTCAGGGTAAATTTATCACAAGCGGCATAATTTTGGGTTTTTTTGTAGTATTTTCCCAAAAATAAATGACCTCATTAGAAGCCCTTATTTGAAATAAAATAATGATTTCTATTTATTCTCATGAAATGAAAATGAAAACAGAAGCGTCTCGTGAACCGACAAGACGCCCACAAAAACGGCCTCTCTCTTCTTCCCTCCCACTCACGCGCATACATTCGACGCCACGAAGCCGCCGCTCCGGATCCCGTCCTCCTCCGACGCCGAAGATGGGAGGTCCGTACTCCGGCGGCTTCTCCGGTCGCCGGGACCGTTCCCACGGCGAGAACGGCCGCCACACCCCCGAATCGGACCGCTCCGCCGAGCATCGCCGACGCCGCCGCCGCCGCAGCCCTTCCTACGACTCCTACGACCGCCGCGAGCCCGATCGGCGCGGCCGCAGCCCCAGCCCCTCGTACGATCGCTACGACGACCGCCGCGACAGCTCGAACCAGCGGTACCGACGGCGGGTCTCGCCCCGCGACCCGGACTCCAGGAGGAGCCCTAGGGCCGACGGAGCCCTAGATTCCTTGCCCAGGCACTTCGGGAGGAAGCGGCCTTACCTCGATCGCGATTGCAGGGGTAACGGTAGGTTCTCGGATTCGGATTCCGATGGGGAGCTGAAGGGGCTGAGCACTGAGGAATACAGGAGATTGAAGAGGCAGAAGATGAGGAAAGCCTTGAAGTTCTGTATCTGGAATTGCACTCCGAGCCCGCCGCGGTACGAGGGGGATGAATTGGAGGAGAAAGCAGAGGAGATCGATGAGAAGTACGGGGAAGATTTGGAGAAGAGCGACTCGAGCGAGAAAGAGAATGGAAGAGCGAAGGGGAAAGGGAAATCTAAGCCCGTTAGCGAGGATTTGAGTGACGGTGAGACGGACAGCGAGTCCGAGTCGGAGCCGAGTGGTTTCGGTTTGAGGAAGAAGAAGAAGAAGAGGAGCTCGAGTTCGAAGCGCAGGAGCAGGGGATTGTCTGGAAGTGAGAGCGAATCCGAGAGCGAGAGGGAAAGCGGTTCTGATGATTCTACATCGAGGAGGAAAGCGAAGAAGAGTAGGAGCTCGTCTTCGAAAGGGAAGAGTGGGAAAGTGCGTGATACTGAGAGTGAATTGGAGAGTGAAAGTGAATATGAGGATTCCTCTTCGAGGAGGAAGAAGAGGGGGTCGAGTTCTAAAGGAAGGAGCAAGAGAGAGCAGGAGGCCGAGAGTGAATCGGAGGTCGAGAGCGAGAACGAATCGGATGATGAAGAGGGTATTAAGGGGAAGAAAAAATCCAGGAAAAGGTCTAGTAGGCAGAGAAGGAGTGGGAGAAGAAGCAGTAGGAAAGGCAAGAGGAGATATAGTGAATCTGATGATAGCAAGAGTGAAGATAGTGAAGCTGAGGATTCTGATGCCAAACCAAAGAAGGGGAAGGGCTCATCGAGTTCGCACAAGAAAAGTAGCAGTCGGAGTAAGAGAAGTATTGAGAACGATAGCGATGTTCCAAATTCGATTGAGAGAGCACAATCTGATCTTGATGTAAACGGTGTAGACAGTGAGGTCAAGGCTGAGATCGATGCGGAAGCACTTTTGTTCAAGGAGCTGATCGAGTCCCAGAAGAAGCCAGCTTTGGATAATGAGCCGGTGGTTGGTCCCATGCCGCTGCCGAGAGCTGAGGGGCATATTAGTTATGGTGGGGCTCTTAGGCCTGGTGAAGGTGATGCTATTGCGCAGTATGTTCAGCAAGGGAAGCGTATCCCACGAAGAGGTGAAGTCGGTCTTTCTGCAGAGGAGATTCAGAAGTTTGAGAGTCTTGGGTATGTGATGAGTGGTAGCAGGCACCAGAGGATGAATGCCATTCGTATTAGGAAAGAAAACCAGGTTTATAGCGCTGAAGACAAGCGCGCTTTGGCCATGTTTAACTATGAAGAGAAGGCGAAGCGGGAGCATAAGGTCATGGCTGATTTGCAGCGGTTGGTGCAGCGTCATATTGGGCAGGATGTTGGCCCTAATCATGATCCTTTTGCTGGCAAAGCTGCTGATGGTCCTGAGGCTTGATTAACATGTATGTTCGTGTTTTCTTCTTATTTCATGTCTAAACTATGTGATGCCCTCCTCGTTAGTGTAGCAAGTGTTCGACTCTGTTGTCATTCTGGTCATGTGGACTCATCTTTGTGTGTTATGTAGTTGAGGCATTTCTAGTACCTCTCCTTTGATGCTCTTATTGCATTGAAATATATTCGATGAGGGAATATCAATTTTATTTCAAACGGGAGTCTTTCATGGACCTGCATCATAATTTGCTTGTTTGAAGAATACAACAATTGAAGGTTAGAGATGAATGTACACGTGCTTGTAAGGGCAATGCAATTGACTTGTCAAATGACTTCTGGTTGTGTTTTTTATTGCCATTGTATTTTGCATGATATTTCTGTAATGAAATACATCCACGTTATGAGATTGTGGAAACCCAATAGTGGAGCTTATGACCCAAACATGAAGCCATGTGGAAAAAAAAGAAAAAGATACTAAACTTGTTAAGGCTTAGTTGTCGTTGTTGAGCATGCTTATGGTTTATATCCACGACTGGTCCAAATTTGAGAGACCCTATATGTAGCCGGAAGTTATGATTATTGAGGTTGTAATTCTGAATGTCACTGTTCTATCAGGCGAGATATTGCCTTTTTATGTTGAACTGACTAGACTAGTTCAAATTTTATTTGGGTTCTGCTCTGTTAATTAGAACTTGCAATGTCTGCCAACTGAATGTTCTATTTTAGAAGGCAAATAGTCTGACCAAAATGTGAAACCTGGTAGCGAGGGTGACTATGATTAAATTTGATTGTAGAATAATTCAATTGGCTTTATTTTCAGTCTTGCAAAAAAGTTCTGCACAGGAGTTTAAGACAACTTGGCTGGAGTCCTCCTTTAATGGAATTTTGAATTTCAAGTAAGGCCCACGTAATCTTTGGTGAAGCTACATGGCGTCTATAGAGGCAATTTGCATGCAGATAGAATATGGAGTTTATTATCAAGGCCAATCTATACTTTTGTGGTGAAGCTACTTATGGTTGTGAGAGACAATAACTTGCTGTCAGTATTGTTCATCTGCTGAAACAAGTCTCTTTATTTCGTTCCCATCTTTTTGTCATTTTGATTATGGGAACCAAATTAGATATTAGAGAATTCCTCTTTCTTCCAAATGTGGTAGATGAGTCTCTCTTTTCATTCCCTTTTTAGCTTTATTAAAGAATAGCGAAGTAACGATCGGAAAATTAAGCATGTCTCAGTATGTTTTGGTCTATTATGGAGATTGTGGTGTAATACCTAACATGACGCAATATTTGCTAAATTAATGAATGATGGCTTTGGTAAGTTCATAGGAAATAGATTGATTGTTCACCATGGCCTTGGCATGAGGCATGGAGAATAACTATCTTGGCAAAGCAGTTGGGGTGAGTTGTCGTGAACTTTGTGGAGAAACTTTAGACTCAAGAATGAGAACTGTTGGGGAGTAACTCTCGGTTAAAGGACTTAGCGAATCCAAAACTACTTTTCAAAATTTTCCCAAACTCACCTTATGTCTACCCAGATTTATGAAAATCGGGATGCCGCTGCCAACGCAATGAAGTAGAAACATTTTCAATTATACTTGGAAAATCTCTCAAAATCAGCATTTTCGGCGGGGGAGATTGTTACTGCTGTCTGATCTGCCAAATGGTGCCACGTTTTTATGGTTAGTGAAGGATGCATAGCGTAACAATCTAGCTAGATTTACGTACGCCCAAGCTCTCAAAAGAAGTATTCGAAGTGACTAGACCAAGTGATCAATTATGAATCACTAAACAAGACATTTACCGTTTGACGTGGGTCTTTGGAATATTACCATAGGCTTTTCCTTTTTTCAGTTAATGTGTGGTTCCATCAAAGAGCATTGGCCACTAGACTAGTTTACTCTTTTCTCTTGATTAGGTTACTTTGATAATATGGCTCGAACTAATCTCCTAAGCCGACATATTCTGATCAATTGTCTTTCTGGTTCAGGGACTGGTAATTTATATCACAGGACTTCCTCGACGGTGGTGCTGCAGAGATCCGCGCCTCGTCTGATCAAGCTGCTTCTCACTCTTCGATGTGATGGCGTGTCTCTGGGGACGGGAATGTTCAAGCATGGAGTAGCAGCATGCATACTACGGAAACGTCTGCTTCACTAGATTGTCATAATATACTTCATTTGGCCAGGGTGGAAGAAATAATCAAATAACGAGTAAGCCCACTGTCTCTTGACTGTTTTTGTGTTCTTAACTTGTTCCTCCCGTATTTGTTGCAATAGCTATAGCCTTGTGAGACTGAGCAACGTGATAATTTCAGACTACAGTTCAGCAGTCAGCAACGATATTTGATATTCCTTCCCTTTTATGATTTCGGTGTTCGATCATCTCAAAACACCCGACCGATTCCTTCGTGTCACGGGTCTCCTGGCCACCTTTAACAGGTAACTATCGGCGCAAGAGGCCATTGGAGGCGGTTCCGATGGTCGGGCTCGAAACCTATGATCATGGTTGTTGATGCGTAGTATTGTGTTGAGTTTAATCTATTCTCCTTGTTGATGTTGCTGGATGATGCTTCGACGGAAGCGCCACAGAAGGCCTAATGGGCCTGTGCAAACCCAACTTTAATATCGGTTCTGCTAGACAGTAGCTGATCCTACATTGGCATATATCCTAAGTTTAGTGATAAAATCAGAACAAACTAAAATAGGCGACGATCTTAAGATTGGTATGGGACAATTATACTAGGAATTCTAAAACTTATCATGGTCGTGTACTTGAGTTCTAAAACTCTCGTTTCATTCACTCAGGTCCTAAAGCTTGCATAAAATAAATTACAAATGAGATATTTTGTTGGCACCGTCAGTTGTTCTTGGATGGAGAATTTACGCCGCGTACTTTAATCAAATTTCCCTTTCTTTTTTAGGTATTTGGTTAATGATGTGGATTCTACGCCAAAAAAACGTGACCGGGTTTCTTTAAAATGATTAGGAAGGCATACGCACTTGCGCACTCGCACATATATGGAGAGAGTGTTGGGGGTTGGGGAAACCCAAACAGTAAGCCTCGCCTCAGCCTTCGCACCACAAGGGCTTGCTTGCCCTCGCACAATAGGGGTGCCACCGCTCGCCGGCATTGAGCGAAGGGGGGCATTTGGTGTTCTCTAAAATTGATTTAACATCTCGATAAACAATCGATCGCTATCCTAATCGATTGCTATCCTAATCATTCCTTCTGATTAGGGTGGTTATAGTGATGTTTCACATGAAAGGCTCAGGTGTGTTTTCATGGAGAGTCGCGGAACAGTACCTCATGCTTAGCGATGGTTTAAGCAGTATCAAGGAAACTAACCGATACACAATCTCGAGCTTGCAACAATCACTTTTGTTCTCAAAATTGGTGGCATTACTTTTCTATAGCGAGAAATTCGAGATTTATACCGATTACATAAGCTTGAAGTGCTTGTTTAGACAGCAAGAATTGAGCATGTGCCAAGAGCTGCTTAAAAGATTATGATTGTGGAGTCATAAATCTTGCGGGACAGGATGGTTGGTGAGTGGTCACTTCTGGCAACATATGCTGGATTTGGAGCTCTAGCTTTGATCCAATTAGCCCTATGACGATTATTGCAACTTAACGAGTAGAACCGGTCATGTTAGGAAAATAATTGAAGAAGGACGATACCTCATCAATTAGAGAGGTGGTTGTAGAAGGATTCCTTCATATAGGGTTGGAAGAAAATATTAACTTGTTAACAAAATCACGATTTGGGGACCCACGACGGTACCTTTTCGTGTTTGTTAGCAATTTATCTCAAATGTGTTGTTAACTTGACACTAATAACTTTTAGGGCCATATTTTCCTTTTTAATCTGGATGATCTTGCACGACCTGTAACCCACCAATCACAAATATGGTTGGAGTATGACATAACCCTAACTTCTATTATCGAATTAAGGAGAACGTACATGTTCGGTCCTTGTATTATTTGTTTCGGATCTTATACTTTCTTTGTCCTTGTACCATTCCCGATGACGATTCAAGTCGTCCCGTCGAATTCCCCGTTCACAATTCGAGGGAAATTGCCGAGCCGATGCTAGGCCGACCCCGTATCGTGCCGTGCGAGATAAGACAGAGTGACGGATACATGTTCTTTTCACAGACTTAAAAGGGGCTGACCAAGTGTTATTGCGCTGGGGCGACATTGTACTGTGCCTTGCGAGACTCAGCAACGGACCATCCTTTTCCAATGTAATTACTTACAAGCATTTGATGGATCGATAGGAACACGTAATGTCAAGACTCGGCATCCCAAAACCAAAGATAAGACCGAGAGTGAGGTTGTCATGTTTCTTGCCAAAACAACATCCAACGAAATATCTGTCACTTGCTCTACCAAGTTTGGTCCCAACGATTAAGACATGTGCTTGGAGGGACGACCGCGTCACGTTGTTGAATCATTCAATTGGCGAGCGCTCTCTCTCCCTCTCTGTCGCTCCATGCAAATTCGCAATATTTAAAGCACCGTGCAGTTTCTCTGGTCTTGGGCATACACTATCTCATGCATGTGGGGACGCTTCCTGGCTTCCGGCAGGTCGGTGGGGCTATGGTGACGGGCTTATATACCTGTTGGGTGAGTTAAGTTGTCATGCCTCAAAACCGAACATTTCGTATCGGGTATGCAACTCACATCAAGAGGGATACGTGTATCTCTTCGCACCCTCATTATGAGATGGTACGGTTACATGTGAGCCTAACTCACAGCCAATGAGATCATGCAAGAACTCTTATGTAAATAGATAGATTCGTGTAACCCTATCGAAAAAGCAAAAGTACCCCGCCAAAAGCGACACCCCCATGTCTAATTTGACCGTGTCTTTACTTTAGGAGAATTCTTATCGAATCATCAAATCGAAATGCTAATGAAATTGCCAATCCTCTCTGGTGCTTTGTCTACAACATTCTTCTTGCCTATCTATACTGATAATTATGAAATCTTGGAGTGGTGGAAAGAGACACGACTATTGAGATCACATGATTTCGTCCGGTGCATGCGTTAAAAAAAGAAGAATCTCCCTTTACCTTTCCCTTTTGCCCATTCATGATATCACGCCTTTTTTAAGTTTACTTTAGTAATAGGAGAAATTGTCCAAATCTTAAATCTCTTGCGCTTTTGTCAATTCAATCATAAACCTTTTAATTATCTAAATTAAGTCCTGAAACTTTTTCAGTTTTGCTAATTGAGTCTATCCAATCAATTTTAAACGGAAATTGCTAACGTGAACGCTAGTGGTCTTACATGACGGTTTTACGTGACATGATCGGCGCTGACATAGATAATTTTTAATATTTTTTTTTCGATTTTTTTGTATTTTTTCTTTTCATTTTTTATTTTTTCTGTTTTTTTTAAACAATACTAGCCTGTGAGGTTGCCACCCAATCATCGCCAACCATAGGCAAGGGTGTCGAGCACTCACTGGCCATGGGCAAGGGCGTCAACACCTTCACCAAGATCCATATGCCCTCGCCTGGATCTAGGGGAGGGTTCAATACCCTCGCCTGTTGCTGGCAATGGCCATAACACCCTTGCCTATGATCAATGATGGTCGGCTGGCAACCACTGGCCAGAGTTGTAAAAAAAAAAACAAATAAAAGAAAAAGGAAAAATAAACAGATTATTCGAAAAATATTAAAACATTATTAAAAATTCTTTACGTCAGCGTCGCTGTGCCATGTAGGATTGCTAGCGTCCATATCAACGATTTCTTGTCTAAATTAGCTGGATAGACTCAATTGGCGAAATATGAAAAATGTTCAGGATTCAATCGGCACAATTAAAAGGTATATGACTGAATTGATAAAAGTGCAATATATTTAGCACTTTTTGAATAATTTTCCCTTTGTAAAAAACTATATGATCTCCCGCTTGCCCTATATGGAGACGGGACATGTGGTGTTGAGCGAATGCATTGAACTTATTGCCTATGCTTGCGGGAAAGGGATCAAGCTAGGCCCATTTTCATGATTCTCCTAAGTTATCGGGGTCGAAATTAGGGCACAAGAAATTATCACCTCTCTCTCTCTCACTCTCTCTCTCATGATGCTTACATACTAGAGAATGAGTCAATTTCTTGCTGGTGCATTGAGATGATGATTGTGTATACTGGCCTTGACCGATTGATCCCAGTTTTCTTTGCAGCCAAATCATTACTTCTCAAGCATCTGTCATGGTCAGGTACCAACCCTCAATGAGAAAACATCACGAGTTAGAAAGAGAAACGGGTTTTTAGGAGGGTCAAGGAGTGTGTATATTACATGCTCCGAGAGTATAATTTCCTAGTGCAATTCAAAATATTAGGTTTTGAAATTAAGGTATAAAATGCATTGCAATCTCATGCATTCGATCGATGGTTCAAGGACTTGTTTTTTTTTTTTTTGGTAACCGAGGTGTCCGGGTCAGCTTGCACGCACCTCGACTATTCCTCGGGGGAGACTAGCACAGCAACCCACCGCCATGGCCCCCACTTAAATCACAAGTGTCTTCAGCCTGGGAATCGAACCCTGGGCCGCTGCGCGCTAACCACACAATCCCAAGTACGCCCTAACCAACTGAGCTACCCATGGGTGGGTGGTTCAAGGACTTGTTCATGTATGATAGATCAAAGAAAAGTGTACACATGCATTATTGCTCATGACTTTGTTCTCGTTCATTTGATGTTGCATGTTCTTGGACCGGAGACGCGCGTCTCGACGGCGGATAGGACGTTCCATATTTGATCCAAACTAATGCAAAATGTCCATACCCATCGTCTTATTCGTGCTAAGTGCACTTTCCAGAAAGTGGAAACCTAATGTGTGATTCACACTAGTACATAACTACAAAACAAAACTGTTTTCTTTCCAAAAATAGAGGGAAAAGGGGAGGTGAACTCCAAGTAACTTCCGACCAAAAAAAAAACCTCCACGTAACTACGTTAGTCTTGTCATTGTGGATGGACGAGTCAATGAGCTGTCTAACCAAAAAGACAAAAAACAGCAAGAAAATTTGCTTGATTAACGGCTAAAAAGGTGAGAAACTATAGAGAAAAAGAACGAGCGATGAAACGATTACCGATGCCAAGAAAAAGCACAACATGATTTATTGATCAAATAAATGAAATCCATCTCAATTGTTGATTGTTAGAGCCCCGCCACGGGAAATGCTTGTCTCGATTCGAGTCCCTCGTGCAGTCGATCACGTCGATCCCGTGTGTCACAATCAACGGCTACAGTATGTTTGGGCCAATGCAAGACTTGCCCTCGCCACATGGCCCACGCAATTAACGATCGAGATGGTATTCGTTCACACGGTCCCTCATGGACAAGGCCAATCGACCTCGACCCTATCGTGTTTATGGACATAATCGGCACTCGTATGACGTGGTCATGCTGTCCCGAGAGGGACATGGCTTCGAGCTCAAGCGAAAGGATGGGGACACACACATGACCTCGCAAACACACGGCAACATCAATAAGCCAGCCCTGTCCCAGCCACGACCCCAAGCGGCATTCCCATGTGCAGCATGTCACGTCCCTCGCCTTTTCTCCTTCCTCATCTCGAAAAAGTTCATTCTGAAAACTAATGTAGCGATCTAATCCAATCACATATTTAAGAAATACGGAGAGATCGGTATAAAGTCTAGTCGATAAAAATGCATGTTATCGTAACGACTTTTCGATTTGCGATTCATTCTGTCTTTTCATTAGCCACGTAACCAATTATCAACGAGTCACGTTATAGTCGGCCAATTTATATAATATTTAATACCAAATTATTCAACGATCTTGAAAAATCTTAATATGAATAAGATATTTCCTCTAAATTTCTCTCCTTCCAATTGATCAAAACGTACACAGTCTCACTTGACCAAATCTAACCCTTCACTCTCTCTCCCTCTCTCCCAAGTCTGCTCATAAAAGCAAAGAAAGAACGAGCTGATCTTGCCTTGCACCATTTCTTGATGGGTCTCGAATAGCTCTCTCTTTCAAACACACAAGAACAGAACATTCCATCCCTAAACCGATCAACCAATCATCGTCCCGCGGCGGAAATGATGAGAGACTTCCCGTCCTGCTTCGGCGAAAGCGGAGTCCAAATCGCGGACTCATCATCGTCCTTGGTGAGGTACAGCCCCCAGAACACCGTCACCTGCATCTACAAGTCCAAGATACGCGGTCGCCCTTGCCTCATCACCGTGACCTGGACCAAGACCCTCATGGGCCAAGGTCTCACCGTCTCGATCCTCGTCGACGACGGGGGCGGCGACCACCCCAACTCGTCTCGCTCCCTCTGCCGAGTCGAAATCAAGCCCTGGCTCCTCATCTCCAAGCACAGAGGTTGCCGGAAAGCCCCATTATCGTCATCAGATTCCTCCACTCTCGACGTTCACTGGGACCTCTCGAACGCGAAGTTCGGCGCTGCCCCCGAGCCTGTCCAGGATTATTACGTCGCGGTCAAGGACGACCGCGACGTGGTCCTGCTCCTCGGGGACATGGAGAGGGAGGCCTACAAGAAGCTCGCCGGCCTGGGCTGGGCCCGTGACAACGCAGTACTCGTGGGGAAGCGGGAGAACGTGTTCGGGAAGAAAAGCTACTGCACGAGGGCCCAGTTCCGGGACAAGGGCCAGGCACACAGCGTCGTGATCGAGTGCGACCCGGGCGGCGGCACTCCCGCCGAGCCGTGCCTCGTGATAAGGATCGACGACCGGGACGTGGTGAGGGTGAGGAGGCTGCGGTGGAAGTTCCGGGGGAACTGCATGATCGACGTGGACGGCACCGGCGTGGAGGTGTTCTGGGACGTCCATAACTGGCTCTTCGGTGGCGATTGTGTCGGGAGCAACTACGGGGTGTTCCTGTTTCAGACGTGCCCGTTCTGGGCCGAGAGCGACGCCCAGAAGTTCTGCGGTTCGTCTAGTTCGAACGTGTCGAAGCCTTCGTGCATTTCGAGCTGGTGGAGTGCGTCATCGCCCTCTTCTTCGCGGGGTATCGAAGATGATCCTCATCACCGACATCAGTTGCAGTTGCAGCAAGGTCTGGGCTTCTCTTTAATACTGTACGCTTGGAAGAGTGAATAAAATAGTATTATTCATCATCTATTTATTTACCAAAAGAAAGATAAGAAGTCGAGAAGTTTTCTTCTTCTACCTTTTTGTTTTTGGAAAGATACAAGAGAGACTGAAATTGTGTTTTTTCCTCAGTTTTGGGTTTTCATGTGGTTGGAGTGGTAACTGCTAAAGAAGATGCATAAGATGACTTCCTAATAAAGTTTGATTGAAGTACAGTGAAATGAATGCAGATATGTTGTTGCTTCTGATATTTTGTTGCCCCCATAAAAATCGTACATAAAAACAAATAAAACCTACATTTTCGATCGTCCTTGATTGGAAGGGATAACCTCCGATCATACCTTCTCTGTTTAGGGTTACGAGTTATGACATCATTCTCATGTATGCTTAATTGAAATCGAAGGTAAAGCTATAGTTTCCTCCGTCCTTTGTAGGAGAAATAACCGTGATTCTAAAGTCCGGTGATGTTTATATTCATAACCACCAATCAAAAACATGATTCCTTAAAATAACCATGCATGTCTAATTTGCAACTCACCAATAAGAGGCGTGATTGGAGGATTTTCTCTTATCAGAGATTTGAGGTAAATATCAGCGTGAAGATCATAAAGTTAATACCAGTCTATGTATCTCTCACTCTCTTTTTTTTTTTTTCACATTTTGATTTCGACTTAACAAATGAAATATGGCTTGTACCAAATACCTAATACCTCAATTCCTTAAAATCATCCAAGAAATGAAGTTTAATCATCTATAAAATGCTATAACAATTCACCAGAGAATCTTTTATTTTGACAAGGGATCAAAAGGTACTTTGAAGTTAAAATTCCTACCAGACACGCTCTCAATCAATCTCATGTCGTGAGAAAATCTTATATAAATTCAGTCTATGAGTGATGTGGTAGGCATAGTCAATCGCAGCATATAAACTGTATGATAACTTGTGTTTTTCAATGAGTCCCGATGCGATTCTCACCACTTCTTGACATGTTATAATGATCTATGATTAGATTAAATTTATCTAATATCTTCTCTTCAATCATTTCGCTCACCTAATAAATACATCAAGTCTAATAGTTAACGAAAGAAAATATCATCACGCGATTTACTCCGGCTAACAACGAGAAATTATCTTTTATGACTACCCCCAAAAACAAATGACTAATGGGAGTCAAGATTACTATATCTTTCAATTGCACAAGCATTTTGGCTAAAACACATTTTTTTTTAAACGAATTGACTGGAATGTCCTAACTTCTCTCTCACCTTTTATCTTCTCAGTTATGAATAGTTTTCTCTTGAATTCATCCGCTCTTGTAGGTTTCTTGCCACCATCTCTTTCTTCGATCCGCCAAATCACAATGAATGACATTTTTTTGTCTGAGGATTCGAGTAAGAGCAAGGTAAAAAAGTTAAAAGACTAGACTTTCATCCGTCTTTAACTTAGTTTATTGCTCAAAACAGATTGTCCATCTCAGGTGTTAGAAGTACATCCTCGGTGCTTCATAAGAGTGTTTCAAGATTTTTACAGAGACTAAAGTTCCTTCGAATTTAATGTATATTGGTTCACAGGTGCAAATGGAAGTTTCTAGTTATAGTTCGTAAGGCAAGCAAACAACATGTTTGACCACAAGATGTTTGACCAAATAGAGGTTTTTTTTTTTCATGGGAATTTCCGAAAGTTTAATACAAAAAAGGTGTTTTAAAGTCGAAAAGAGTGACCGAACCCTTTTTCCGTTTGATAAAGAATAATCTCTTAGTAAGATAAATGAAGAGAAAAGAGAGCAATTCACCATCTTACCTTTACCTAAAAAAAAGAGAGCAATTCACTTGTTTAACTGCAATGCTGCGACGCTATTCATTGGACTCGAGAATTCCGAGAAGAGTTGAGCAAATATATAGAATTACAAATCTAGAAACGAATCTAATCACGTATAAATTACACGTGATGATACTCGTAAGTATCCAAGTGATTTGTCGAATACGAGTGAGATCTCTGTAATCCCCATAAGGTTTTTCCGTCTTCAACATCCCCTGCGCTCAAGTTGGTAGTGTAGACAAATATCGGATGGTTGCCAAGAAGCTTTTCCAAAAGCAAGGGCTATCAAATTAGCTTTCGAGCAGACGAACCTAAGATGCAAAAAGCACCATTCGAATGCGTTCGGATAAAGTTCCAATCATACGATACACATACATGATCGCACGCTTAAAAGCTAGTACTGTCAAATCCAATTTACTTGCGGGCAGATGGTGCACACGGTGTTTGGAAGTTAGTTTTCAGGTAAATCTATACTTAAAGACGATGATACAGTTTGAAAGTCAACAAGGTTCTTATGGTCATTCAGGACATGAAACAGAAGTTGACAGTATGCGACAGAGGCCACCTGCGTCAAAAGAACTCACTATCCACTGTCATCCATTCAGCTACAAGTCGGGAAGTAAGGGGTAGTCCACGATGCACGGGGCTAAGGCAAAAGGGGTGGTGCATGAGGAGAGTGGTTCACGGAGGACCTCGTGTTGACGCTTGCGAATGAGAACTAGGTGGTACGGTGAATTTACGAAGAGAGATGCATAGATGTTCATCAAGAACAATTTGCATCAATTGCTACTCAGAAATGTCCAGACAAGAGACAATCCAATTGTTTAACTTCAATGCTACAACCTATTCTTGATAGTGCTTATCGAGAGCTTTCCACCAAAATCTACTTTTCTCAAATCCGATGATCGGATTTTTATGTCACATTTTCTAACCATGGCTGTTCTATCTTAAAGGTGTTGGGAAACTTTTTCACACGATAAAATGATTTTCATAACGATCATGTCACAAGCTTTTCGATACTTCAAGAACTGAAGCCTCAGTGATGAAATTGACAGAAATGAATGCCATAAACAAGCCCTACTGAAGTTTCCGGAATGACGCTAGAATATCATCCTAGAGGATATTAGTTTCAAATTGTTAGAGCAAAGCGGACATTGACTTCACAGCTGCTCCATATCTCAAGGAGCAAACTAACCATTGAATAGAGTGGTCGAATTGCAATTATAAGACAATTGACAACACTCTGATTATCCACAACCATTACAGAATCGAAATAGCAAAAAAAAAAAAAAAAAAAAAAAACAGTGCCATGAAAAAGAAAAAAATATAAAGAAGGAAAAAAGAAAAGCATCAGTCATGAGTCATCCGTCCGATAACAGCGGATGACAATTTGCGCAGGAGAGAAAGGGACAGAGAAACATGTTGCTCATTATATTCTGGCTTTTAGGTATTTATCCATACACAAACTTCCGGAGTTCAGGCAACAGGCATACACGAACCTGGGGTTTTCGGCGTTCCTTCAAATCCGCGGCCATTGGCAGTTAAAACTTGACTAGAATGGCAACTTGACTAGAATGGCACCATTGATTCAGATAGCTAGATAAAGAGCTTGTTGCAGAACTGACAAAAGAAGAGAAAGAAAGAGGCAATACTGTCTCAGTCAGATTCTGCAAAAAGATCATAAAAGTATTGCCACTGTTACAAATTCTGCAGTAACACCTTTTCTAACGGTAAAGCAGATTAACCATACTATAACAGTAACGCAGAATAACTATGAGACATTCCCTCATACTGTTGAGTGCTTAGGCAAACCTTTGTGCACATGACATAACAAAATTCGCTTCAATGGAACTTACACTTTTCTTCTCATAGTTTATCAGTAACCCTTCTATCAGAAAAGAATGCGCCCTACCGATAGGCAAAAGCCTAGAGGTTGGGATCAAGGGGCAGGAATGAGTCTTGGGATTGAATCTCAAGTCTGAGAACCCCGGACCTCTGGGGGTCCAAATTACAAAGAAGAGAAATAGAAGCATGGGCCCTTCTGAAAGTACATATCGAGAAAAAAAAAACATAAATAGGAATTTCCTGTACATTGCAAGTAGTGAAGCTAGAATTTAAATTTTGATTGGGAGACAAAGAACACCATAGCAAACAGAACCTGAGTTTAAATGAAGCAAAAAATTCAGAGTCTGGATCCTAGGTGACATAAATACAGTAGAGGGACACGCACCATTTTGTTTTGGCGCATGATCTCCAAACTTTCCTTTACTTAAGGCATTTCCTAGATGGGAAAATAGTCCAGCTCATCTGAACTTTCCTCGTAGATTACGTAGCTGGAATCACGGCTATCCTCATTACCACTGCCTTGATCGCTATTGTAGCTGCTTTCAGATGAACTTATAAATACAGAACTATCTGATGCATGACCATTATGGTGCAATGGCAGGCCAATCTCGCTGTTGAGGTCACTATCGATAATTTGTTCCATCTCGCTAAAACTGCAAAAATAACATAAATCTATGGGGCAAAGTGGAGATTGAAATTCATGTTTCAAAGAGAGCACACAATAATTTAAATCTGAAGGTAGGTATCAAGCACCTAGGATGCACGGACACTCTCCGGGGGCCTCCGTGTCGTGTTGGACGTGTCAGACACCGACACTCGTCCGACACTCTTTTTATTATTATTTATTTATTTGTGGATTTGAAACAAATTAATTTGATTGAAATAATCATGAAAATGATAATTTATCATGTATATATAAAAATATACACGTAGTATACAACGTGTCCCAACGTGTCGGAATTCTCATTTTTTGAGAAATAACGTGTCGGCGAGTTGTGTCGTGTTGTGTCGTGTCGTGTCGCGTGTTGGTGTCGGTTCTACTTAGTCAAGCACAACAGTCGTATAGCAAAACCCAAAATCGATAACTATATAGAAAAAAACATTTTCAGACAAACCTTCCCCCCTCCGATGGGAAATCTGCTAGTAAACAGATATCCGGCCTTTCTTCCATAACCTGTTTAAATGGGATGACACTGGACAAGAAGACGAGTACCAATATTATAATGTTAGAGTGGGAGACTTGCAGCCATTCCAATATGATGAATCTAAGCAATTTTAGGCATACCTTGAAGAGTAACTTCTATTATACCAGTCACCTTCAGAAGCTAATCCTTCCTTATTGGATATGTCCTGCAGCAGGAATAATTTCAGGCTCTATTGCAGGATAACAAAATAATGACAAGACAAATAGAAGGTCCACGATACCCACAACATGTCTTAGAAACTTGAAATCTCCAGCAAGAACAGCGGTAAAAAACCGAGCAACCTCCACCTGTAGATAATCTCGTATCAGAGAGGGTGGCAGGGGGAGAGAGAGAGGTGACGGTAATGGGACTCCTCTTTTTCTCACCTCTTTGAGATGCATACAGTCCCTTAAAATCAGGACTTCCAGTAAGGTTCCGGTTGAAGTGCTGCCAAGATTTCTAAAATTTGAAAACAAAATACCTATTTGAGGTGAATCCACAGGACTTTGACGTATAACACAGGAAATTAACTTAATGAAGTTATGTTCAGAGAGAGAGAGAGAGATTAGCAGACCTTAGAAAATTCCCAGTGATTGAGTAGGATGTTGAAAAGTCAACATATCGTAGCTTTCGAAATCCCTGCAAGAGATACCAAGAAGATTACTTGTTCGTCATTAAAACAAATGTGAAATATCAACTTATGATAAATCATTCAGAATCATCTTTACTAGGGCTGTCAATAAAGCCCGGCCCGCCCCGGACCGGCCCGGACCGACCCAGCCCAGCCCCGAAATTTAGGGCTTCTTCGGGGCGGGCCTCTTCTGGGTCGGGAATAGTTTTAAATTTTGAATATTATCTTTATTTCGGGCCGGGTCGGTCCGGGCCGGGCTTTTTTGACAGCCGGCCCGTGACTTAAAAAACCCTAGCGCATCCTCCTCCTCCTCCTCCTCTCTTCCCTCTTCTTCTTCGCTTCGCCTCTTCTTCTTCCTCCTCCACCTTCACCAGACCATCGCAGCCTCTCTCTCTCTCTCTCTCCCTCTCTTCTTCTTCCTCCTCCTCCTTCACCAGACCCTAGCGCATCCTTCCCCCGGGTCGGTCCGGGCCGGGGTCGTGGGGCTGCTCCTCGCCGAGTCGCCGCACCTCTTCGCCAGTGACGCGGCATCGCACCAGAGCAAGGACCCTTCGATCGCGGCTGCCAAATCCCCCACCCCGGCGGCGGCAGGAGGGACGCCGCCGCCGCCGCCGCCGCCGCCGAGGAGGGGGGAGCGGATGCGGTGTGGTGGTGGTGGGGATCCCACTTGAGGCGCATCAGGAGCTCGGCCACCATCCTGTCCTCCGCCATCGGCGTCCTCACCCACCCGTCCTTCGCCGCCATCGCTGCCAGCGGCCGAGAACCCAATTTACCCACCTCCTCTTGCTCTGGGGAGGCGCCACCACCAGCACCGCCGTCCTTTCCCTCCAGCGACTCCCCACCTCCTCTTGCTCCCCCACCTGCAAACCCGAAAACCCGGACCGACCTGACCCGGATCGACCCGGATTTTCGCTTCGGGTTCTATGCGTTTTGGGTCGGGTCAGGTCAGAGAAAGCATGCGCCCCTCGTGATTCAGGTCGGGTTGGGTATCATAGAAACCCGACCCGACCCGACCCATTGACACCCCTAATCTTTACTATGTCTAATATCTCCTTAGAATGGACTATTAAATTCAAGCATCCAACCAGTCTGAAGTGAAGAGATTCATATCATCCTACCACCTATGACTCATAGAGGCAAACTTAGATGAAAAAGGAAATAGCACAAAAATTCTGCTGATAGAAATTGTCTGCAGTCATTCGCAAATAGCTTTTAAGAGCCAAAAGTGACTTATGGGGAGTACATCGGTGTCCTATTTAATGCTTCACATGCTAATCTTCTAGGAACTCGTACAAACTGCGGCTGCTAGGTTTTTTCTAGGAATAACCAAAGTAGATTTCCTTCCATTGAAAAATGGTCTCCAATAACCAATGGTCATATAATACAATACCCAACAACTTCTATATACACATGCCTTTAGACAACTAATATCAATCTTCTTCCGGACATTGCATTTGATGGTCAGGACAAGAATTGGATAAAAAATCCCTCGGATGGTAAATGTAGACATATCAAACCCTATCATGTTTGATACACTTAAAGATAGATTGAAAATAAAAAAATAAAAAAACTGAAAAATTAGAAAATTCAATTCAATTAAAAAACCGAAAAGGAAAACCCAAAATCTAGGGATTGCAGCCGCAGCCACCACCATGATGGCTGTGGTTCATGACAGCAACCACCAGAGTATTGTTGTGGTGGTCCAGCATGACAAACATAACAGTGGCGATGAAAACAGAGAAAGAGGTTAAGGAATTGCGGTGGTGGTGGCGAACTACGGAGATTGAGGCACATCACTTAAAAGCAAGCAATAGCTTGTTGTTTTCTTCTTGTTAAGTTCACTTCTTATTTATTCTTATGCAATCCGGGTTTATCCCACCCCTTTCCCGAATTTCTTATCAAGTGTATTATTTAGATATATCCAGATTAATCCAGTTTGGAGGACGTCTACAAACAATAGATAAGATAACAATTTATCCTATCTGGACTTAATTCTGAGCTACCAATCGCAGCCAAGCAGTAAATAGTGTTCATGGCCATATAATTAGAGCAGAAATAAGACTGGACTGATAGGGAGAGCGAATTTACACCATCGACAACCAAAATCCAACAAAGTAGTCCAAAAAATTGCAAGATGATAATTTTGGCTTCATATTGAACAAGTATTACTTTTGATGCAAAAATATGTACCTTAACAAGTGTTCTAACTTTGCAATCATGGAGCTTAAACCCTCTTAGAGACAATGAAGTCAAATGAGGACAATTGTTGACTAGATCAACACATGTTGGTGATTTCAAACTGTCATCTCTACCTGATGGAAACAGAAAAGTAATGACCATATTAGAAAAAGCATGACCTGAGAAATTTCTTGGTGTCAACAAACTCTCACCTGTTTTTGAAGATTCGAAGAACAAACGCTCTATCAAATGACAATTTAAGCCCACAGAAGTCAACAATTGTCTCAATTCAACATGTCTGTAATTTGAAGAATGCAATGTTAGAACATGTAATAATGGGTTACAAGAATGATCGCCCAATAAGTAACTGAGGACAATTTTACAAGGTTGTCATGAACAAATATGGGTAGGGCTATACATAGAATAGCTTGTCTTGTATGCTAGTGATTTTTGTTCAACTTTTAGAAACCAAAAAGAAGAAAGAAAACATGATATGCCAGTTGATACGTAAATGAAAAAAAGACGGTTCCCAAAAAACAGGATATTTTTGTTAGAATCATGAGTAGCAACTTCTGGAAACAAAACAGCAAATGAAGTAAATGAAAAAAAACGGTTCCCAAAAAACAGGATATTTTTGTTAGTATCATGAGTAGCAACTTCTGGAAACAAAACAGCAAATGAAAAAGAACTTACAGGCCAACGATTTCCAGATCAACTAGAGATGGGCATACTGACAAAGCCATACAAAGTGATGCACTATCCATTCTTTCAATGTTGTACAAGTGCAATCTTCTCAACAATATCCTTGAGGAAAGAAGAAAGGCAAATATTAGGAGCCAATTGCAGCGTGAGCAACACAAGGTCCAATAAATCATAATATTCAACATACCCAGCAGCACTGCCATCAGCACTTAAAGGGCTTAAGCATGTCCTGGTCAAGATGGGCGACTCTTTCCCTTGTCTGGTCTTCTTATCATTCCATGAAAAGTTGGAGACATCAACGGAACTCCTTATTGTATATACTAACGGTTGAGAAGATCCAGGTGACATGGTTGGGCCTGGGACTATACCAAGCTTCAATGACCTCAAAGATTTAAATGGAAAATAAAGCAAATTTAGATGGAGAAAAGGTAATCCCATTATGCAAAAAAGAGTACCTTCGTTTAAAATATTAGACAAGATCTCCTGCAGAGCATATGAAGAATTCACCAATAAATAAAAATCACATCACAAAAAGGATCGAGAGGAATCTGTTACACACTCCAAGCAACCTACAAATAGAACCCAAAGGAAATAAAGGCAACTGCATTTTTCCAGATAAATCAAATTAAGTGGCACAGAGTACAGTGGATCAAAAAAGGCCTCCATTTTCTCACTGCTTTAGTTTCATATGGTCTATAAGGGCAAAAGGGGAGACATCCCCTTATGAATTGTGATGCAAAAGGAGAAAGGCAGCATGTGTAGACACCACCTATCTCTCAGCCTCCGACACATTTGATAACATTATGAAGCATCATTAGAGAAACAAATTCAGTTCCACCAATACAACCAGTAGAACAACAACCGCATGACAAAGCCTATTAATGACAAGTTCATTACTAGCAGGTCAGTTATTGATGCAGAGGAACCATTCCAGGAGAATGGAAACTGGCAAAAGAGGACCTAAAATGAAAGACTTTGCAATATGATTCCTTACTGAAGGGCTCTTCCGGCTCTTTGAATCATTGTAGACACAACAGCATTATTAACCTTCGGGACAACTGTTGTCAAGTCAATATTGGTATAGCATAAAGGATCCATGGCGCACTTGTTAAACAGCGAACAAGTTGCTGCAGCGTAGCATAGGCTTTGTGAATCAAGCATGGAGAAAACCTGAATTTCCTCGTCAATAAAAACATATAGATACCCGAGTAAGGAAATATTGCAAAACCTTTTCAACAAAGGCCAATTGCGTGATCCTATGTCAACAGCAAAAATGTCAAAAGACATCATATTTATCTATAATCAAAGAAGAAATATATTTTTGATCTACGAGCAATCGAAGTGATCCGGACGAGTACATATTGCACAATCAAAGTCAGCAAGCAACATTTGCAATAGCCAGATAGTCAGAACGTGAGTATAAAATTGTATCATCACCGCGGCAAGATACAATTCGTCGAGCTTGCACACAAAAACTAAAATCGAACTCCATTTCTCAGCTGATCCACCCAAGGGATCCAACCACACGCAAACGAAACGAGCTCAAAACGATTCAACCGCAAATGCCTCCGTCGCCACTTCGCAGCAGCGCAACAAAATAACGAACCAAGACAATGCAATTCGCAAACCTAGAAACCTCCGGAACGAGCCAAAGACAGTAAAAATGACGGAAAACCTTGATGGTGAGATCTGGAGGGAGAGCCCACGCGACGGAATTGTGCTTGGCGGCGCGCTTCCTCGCGGAGCGCCTGGCGGCCTCGGTGATGGCGGAGCCCAGCCGCAGGGCGCGGTCGATGAGCAGAGCCTCGTCCCGATCGGAGGCTCTCGCGTCGAGGAGCCGGTCGAAGGCGAGGTCGATGGAGTGGGAGCGGGAGGAGGAGTCGGCGAGGGAGAGGAAGGCGTCGAACAGGTGGTCGATTTGGCCGAAGGCCGACGACGACGGCGGCGACGACGAGGACGCCGCCGGCTGCGGCTGCGGCGGCGACGAGGGGCAGGGCCGCTTGTTGGCCATGGACGGCGGTTGCGGCGGCGGTTGAGGCGGCGGCGGTGCGGCGGCGGTGTGGAAGAGCATGGCATCCATAGTGGGTGGAGTGGAGGATTTGAGAGAGAGAGAGAGTCTTTTTTTGGGGGGTTTTGGGGGAGATTGATTTGATTGGGGGGAATGGTACGGACGAGAGGGCGGAGCGACACGTGTGCCACGACGGGCGCGGGTGAGCGTGGGGAGGTGGCGAGGGCGGGGTGACTTTAGCGGGGCCGCCTCCCGTTTCTTGGGGAATAATAATGTGGTTTTGGAGTTTAGCCGAACGAGAATGGAGGTGGTGGGGCCCTGCTGCTGACGTGTTGCTCTTGCGTATGTATATAAATTGTCGGGAAAAATTCCAAATCAGTACCCAAAGTGAAGCCGTTTTCTCAAAAAAAGGTTCAAAATGGACGTAGTGTCAAATAAGGATCTGAAGTGCCCAATTAGTCTCAAATAAGGGCATGGGTTCGTCGGCCGGTCAAATGCTCACCGGCCGGCGAGCACGTCACTGTTCCGATCGCCGGAATAAGTGTAATTTCTTCTTTTACTTTTTAATTTTTTTTTGTTTCTTTTTTCCTTTTATTTTTTTTTCTTTCCTTTTTTTTTTTTTTTCCTCCTTTTAGCCGGCCGGACCCCCGCCGTGGGCGGCTTTAGGAGAAGATGAACAGTGTTGGCATGGCCGGCGGGAAAGAGGAGGAAAAAAAGAAAAGGGAAAGAAAAAAACAGTAAAAGGAAAAAAGAAACAAAAAAATTTTAAAAAGTAAAAGACAAAATTGCTCTTATTCCGGCGATCGAAACAGACGTGATCTCCGGCTGGTGAGCATTTGATCGGTCGGCGAACCCAGGCTCTTACGTGAGACTAATTGGGCACTTCAATCCCCTATTTGAGACTGATCGGGCACTTCAGGCCCTTATTTGACACTATGTCCACTTTGGATCCTTTTTTGAGAAAATGGCCCCATTTTGAGTACTGATTTGGAATTTTCCCTATATTGTTGGCACAGTTTGACATTTATTTTATAAATTAATATTCTTATATAGAAATCATCATCGCTGCTCTTCCATGGTGAGGTATTGCATTGTATAATACCGAAGCTATCATCCTCTCCCTCATCTATAACATGGGATCACTATTACCTCGTAGTTGAAGTAACCCTAATTTTAGTTCAAGAAAATTTGATGAATTTTAGGATTTATTTGTTTTGCAAAAAAATGAATTATTTAAATAGTACTTTCTTAAAGACGGTCGCTTATATCACCTATCAAATGAATGAATAAATGGATGAAAAATATTTTCATCGTCCACGGAAATGTTTAAATATAAATTATTACTGATAATAAAAATATTTTTCATCGATTAATTATTTCAAATAGTGTGAGCGATCATTTTCAAGAAAATATATTTTAAGTTATTTATTTTCTGCGAAATAAACGGATCCTTAATTTCGCGACTAACTTAGACCCTACAAGGAAGCAAGGGAAGAAAGTTGTTAGACGTTAGTACAATGAGAAATGACAAGCAAAGGTCTCTCTCATGTACAACGATTCGATTTAGCATATAAAGGGGTCATAACGCCATAGGGGCGGGACAGGCCCTAGGGCAAGGATGACTAGATTTGTCTTCTGCGTTGCTTTACTAAAGAGGAAAAATAAATTATAAGTTGTAAAATAGATCACGGAGCGCTTAGTGCAACGCCGCAATAACTTTCATATTTCGGTTCATTTAAATTATTCAAGCAACTTAGATCGCCAGAAAACGGCAACAGAGTTTTAGTAAATTGGACATTGATTGTGTCATACGAGCATGCGCAAGTGTGTTAGACAAGAATGGAGTGCCGGACGCAGATACCACCATGCCCCCGGAAGCCACCCGGCGTGGCATGGCGGATTTTGGTTTCCGTGGCCTTAGTTCGCAGCATCGGCATCGGGATTGCTCCGATCTTTGTTACATAAATCACAAAAAGAATATTTTGACATACAATAAATAAAAAAGTAACTCCTCCTTAAGAAAAATTGCCGATTATGTATTATTCCCGTTTTCTTTTTTACCAGCACAAACATGAAAGAAAAGTACGGTAATGAACTCTATGTTCATGAAAGGACCTCACTTTTGCACTCTCTCTTACCAAAAAAGGGAATGGATTGAAGAAAATGCTAGAAGTGATGATTCGAGCTCTTTATGTCTTTAATCCTTTTGCAAAGCAATCACAACCTTCCTCCAGACAAGCAAATGTTTGGCACACTCCAAAATAAAAGCTCGCTGTGAACTGAATCGAATCGCGCACCAACACAATTCCCTCGTCAAGTTGTGCCATAAGCATGGCATCAGCGTCGCAGCATACGCTCCCCTAACGCACCATGGCCGACACCATCAAGTTCGGGTCAGTCTTGTGTTCGGATGACTCGATTCTGAAGGTAACTAAGATCAGTGTTCTATCATTGGGTCATTGGTCCAGTAGTTTACTGACGAACAGATGCCGGGAGATTTAAAATAGTGTGAAAACTCTTTACCTCGTATGGTGCTCTCATTGGTGTCTCGCTTAATTCTCAACCGTTGATGCATGTAAATTAAACATGCCTCGACAGCTGAGATATGTTGGAAAATCACCATGAAAGCGCTGCGAGGTAGAAAATCCACATCACTTTATACCATAAAAATGAAATCTTAGCAAGAGTGCACATATATATCACTTGCCTGGCCCAAAAATGAAACTGGACATATGAAACTAGACTGACCAGTACACTTGATCTTTTCTGTTTCCTTGGCTTTAGGGTCTGTCAAAAAAAGTAAAGGAAGACGGTAGTAGCTCAGATCTTTTTTAAGGGGGAGCATTCAACTGAACGCAGTAGTCATCCCAAAAACATCAAAACCCAAGAGGTTGGAGGAGAACTTTCGAGTTTCCGGCTTTGAGTTGGAAAAACAAGACATGGACTTGATAAAAAGCTTGGACCGGAACTACCAGACAAATCAACCTGCGGGTACTGGGTATATATATGCATGAGTTTCATGCCTCATCGAGAAGAGAGTTATTGTGTTGTCCTGCAAGTGAGGAAAAGACCTAGGAAGAATTGGACATCTCCTGCACGTTGTAGCAGAGTGCCTCTAGAAGTTCTACAATGCACGGCTGAAATATTATTCCTTCCGACTGGTCTGGGCAAAAGATCAGGAATAACACAGTTCTCAATTCTTATCAAGAAAATGTGCACTGAAAGAGAAGTGCGCACAATATGCAAACTCCTTATTGTTCCAAGCTTCTCAAAGTTAATGTCTCCTACTCACCTGAGCTTTTTGGGATTCAACTGGAAAACTGCAGGCATTGATCCTCTACCTTGCGAGGTGCTTCCCTTGGTTTCTTCTCAACTGTTGATATGTACCTCATTCACGTGCATCAATCGTTGAAATTAATTGAGACACCAAGGGAAGCACCTTGCGGGGTAGAGGATCTTCATCCGAAAACCGCAGCAAGAACTCCAAAAAATCATAAATCTGATCACCTATATCTGTATAGGGAAAATTACAATCTCGCTACCCATGGAACATCCAGATTTTACCAAGCCCACTCACAGTTAAAACAGTAGATATGATGTACTAGCTATGTTCAAGTTTTGGTTTAAGAGAAATTTAAACTTTTCCTCCAAATGCAAAAGAGAAAAAAGAGAAGAAACCTACAACAGAAACACTATGTACTTTCTTGAGACAAACACTATAAAAGCAAACTAGAGGAAAGCAATGCCAAATGATAATTCATTGAGACAAACAGAAAACTAAACATAACTTACATCTGAGTTTAAAGAACAGGTAGTCAAAGTATGGCGTTTAAGAATTCAAATTGTGTAATTTCCGCTTTTCACCTTTCACTGGAAGGATTGTCCAGAGTCAATACATTCCCGACAATTTTGATCCAGTCAGAACTTTAATTTGCAGCAATAAGCATGCACTAGTCAGGATGATGCAAGAGCTTCTAATGCTTTTTACTCTTTTTCGCTAGCAAACGAATTACACAAAAAAGATCCATCAGTCTTCCGTCTTTACATCAACTTCTCATTCTTACTAACTGTACGGGGAGTAAATCCTCCTACGGTCACATCTAACAGACACCCAGATTAAACTACAGCTGGGGTTAAGAAACCCATGATCCTAACTCACCTCTCAACAATTTGCTGCCTCTTCTGTACAAACTGGTATATTGGCCACACGCATTAGTAAATAAATGGGATGACAGCATACCGGTCTCGTGGATAGTTGTCAAATTTACTATGATACCACCTATGTGTTTCTGCTGCCGCAAATACCAAATTCACCACCTGCCATTACAAAAGAATTAAATCTAAAGAAGTTGCAAGTGCGGGATAAAACAACTATACATAATAGTATGAACAACGTATACCACAAAACCAAACAGCAACCAGATTGTCAAGTCTGATCCTCCACTGGCAACCACTAGTCCCGCATATATAACCTTTCATCATCAGAAGAGGCAATTAGAACCTTCAAAAAGCAAATTTAGTCACAACCAGAACCATTTAAGTTTTCCTTCTTTATCTCCTAGGTCAAATTCAAGGACAGGAGAGAGAGAGAGAGAGAGAGAGAGAGAGAGAGAGAGAGAGAGAGAGAGAGAGAGAGAGAGAGAGAGAGAGAGAGAGAGAGAGAGAGAGAGAGAGAGAGAGAGAGAGAGAGAGAGAGAGAGAGAGAGAGAGAGAGAGAGAGAGAGAGAGAGAGAGATTTACTATCTCGGCCAAATAGTGTGGACATGAGACAAGTTCAAACCAATCGCCATGAGGCACTACATATGCATGACTTTCTTCTCTGCGTTCACGTAGGGAGCCCTAACAAAATCAGAAAAAACTTGACAATTAAGAGCAACATATAATATGAGAACACTCATTCCATTGATGCTTGTAGAGCAATTCCTCTCATCATCTAGTAAATTTTGTGAGAAAGACACAGAGATAAATCCTTTAAGACGTTATTCTCCCTTTCTAGATTAAGCACGATGAATGTCACATAACCAGACAGTGCAGACAATATGAGAAGTTTGACTAAGTTATCATGCTGGTAAATCACATCCTAGAAGCTCTTCAAATGCACATATGTGCTGTTCAAAGATAATGATAACTGTCTATGAGAAAACAATCCCATTAATGATAGAGATACACGTACAAGAATTCTATGACACTGATGCTGATGAATCCAACTCCAGAAAAAAATAATAGCACCAATCCAGTGATGCCATCCAAGCTTCATAGGAGGATTGACAAACTTCCACAAGTTAAATTCACTGGAGGCCATCTGATCTTTGCCTCTGACAATGAACTCAGACACTTGGTTGGATGAAAATTCATATACTTCCATGGCAAAATTGCTGCAAAGTGACAGTGGCGCAGCAGTGTAGAAACTTGCCATAGCGAAGAAACAAAATTGACGATCAGAATAGATAGAAGCATGTAACATAATAAATTCGAAAGCCAGACAGAGTTGCAGAAACATAATTCACAACAAGGTATTCTAATGATAAACCACCTGCGAAATTGCAGAGACATAAATCCCAACAAGGCATTCTATGATAAACCACCTGCATCTTAGTGATCGACAGTAGTGATTGACCGTGCATCCCACAAAAGAGACAACTCATTCATGACATACCAACGTAAGGTTAAGAATATACTTATGCAAGCTACTGGTTTGATAAGACCAAGGAACTTCAAAGATAAGTAACCACTCCAGAAGATATAGGGTCCCGTCTTGCAGGTCACCAGCTTATGATCAGCAAGAGACCTCATGAGAACCGATAAAAAGGACGTGTGCAATACTCCGAATACACTAGCAGCAGGAAAATAAGCCCAAACCAAACATAAGATGTTTCAGAGTTAACCTGATGGCATCCACAAGAAACAAAACTACCAGACCTTCAATCCATATCAGATGGAACATTAGCTTCAATTAGCATATCCCAGTGACCAACCTCATTAATTAGCAAAACACATGCAATGAACCAAAAAAACACCATGGACAAGCCCACTAGGTCAAAGATACAACTATAGCTTCAGTAGCAACATTGACTTCCCATACATCAAATTATATGCAACAAACAATTACGATGAACACATATATTCTCATAAAGGCTTAGGGTGTCATATATAAGTCGTGAACTAAAGTGTGAATGCTCCCTGGCCCAGCAAAAAGAACTAATTTAAAAAAGGTGATGGCAAGCTTGACAGTTATTAGAAAACTTACAAAAGTCCAGTTAGATAGCCAAATATGTGCATCCGAGCTGATGGGCTGTAGTGAAACACATATATATTCTCATAAAGGCGCCTCAAAACTTGGATCTCCATTAATAGAAGCAGAAACACAGACTTCCAAACCATGTATCTATGCTTTAGGGGAGTTGAACGAGATCTATGCAATGTAAAAGGATGTGAACCACCTGTCAAGTGGCTGGCAATAGAGGAATAAAGAAAGGGCTCTGAGGCCATAGGTGCCATTGTATATGCATAAATCCATGTTGCAGCAAGCAGAAGCCCTGTCCATATGACAGCTAGCGCGTAAAAATGAGTGAAGAACCTTTGAGGGACAGTGAATTTCTGCAATTAACACACAACATTAAAAAATCGATACTCACTAGGAAAAACTTCCACGTTCCGCAAGAAAAATTGCAGACTACTAAGCATGCCAAAATTGAACAGGAAATCTGATGTTTACTTCTTATGAACTTACATAAGAAAGGTATTCTACTTAAGGCAAGAACTCCCTTGAGCCCACCAATTATTTTAGTGTACACAATGTTCATATTAGCAGTAAAATCAGACAGCATGTTAATTCATCACAAACAAAGAACCTTAGCACTATGAGAAAGATAATAACCAAATCAAAGCAACTTGGGGTACTGATGTAATAAGAATAGTAATGGAATTCCAGAAAGTGAAAAGGCCTAAATAAATTAAAGTTTGATTATTTGATTATCTCATCATGGAACCACGAAAAAGGAATTTGTAAACATCTATCTTTCAGTATGCTGTAAAAAATTCAGAGTTAAGCTGTTTGATTGAGATTAATACACTTCTCACCTAAATAGCCTACTATATTCTCACAATAATAATTGTGCATCATTAAAGCTAAGAAACAGAAGGCTAACTAAGTTCTCTCATTAGTGAAAGGACGTCTTTCATATACAGAACTAATACAAGTAACTGACTCTGAAGGTTTTGAATTGGGAAAAAGGACAAGAAAAGAGAAGCGACAGCTAAAATGGACACCATTTGCATCTAATCTTTAGATCACTCAAGTAATTAGGTCTTTCCACTGCGGTACCTAATAAAGTTCGACCAGAAATATCAATCTGCAATATCTATCTAATTAAAAATTGAAGATTCATCCTTGAGACAAACCCATTTACTTCCTCTTCATAAATCTATCTCCTCAGGTTCATCAGCTTATTTCTTGATGCCCCATCAAACCGCATTTGCCTTTTCCTTATCGCGAAAAAAAATGTCATAATTTCCATTAAAGCCCATCAAACAACCAACAAGATGAACGCAAACTTATGGAAGCACCAGCAGCGACATTTACCTAAAGCCACTGATACTTACGACATATTCTTTACTCTCTCTCTCTCTCTCTCCACAGCTAAAATCCTCTCTTCATCCACTTTCCTTTTTTGCCGTTGTTTTACGAATGAATCCAAGTCTGACTGAAAGTGGCTTCCAAGCACCACTCAAGCAAGAATTCAAATCATATAGTCGAACTTAACTCCCATGAAACCATTCATTCCAAACAGACGCCCTAAGGGCAGAAAAGAAACAAAAGAAAACCAAAGTGAACAAAATGAAGCGATCTCATTACTTACATACAAAGAGGACTGCATGATCTTGCCCCTCTTGGCGAACCCCATCACGACCTCGTGAAGTCGACTGAGTCTAGGAAAAGGCAATGAGGCGACCAACAAAGGCAAAATCCCAGCAATCCATGCCATTCTCAGAAGCCCGACTAGTCCAATCTCCATCTTCTTCGCTGTATTCTAATTTTCCTTATCAAAAACAGAAGAATTGTTTCCCCTTAAATATGGAAAATTGCAATAAATTTCTACTCTTGTAAGCACTAAAAGATCTTAAAATCCTCAAAGATTTGAAAAAACTCATACCCATCAAAATCTGTGACACTAAGACCGTGATCAACACCATACACTTCGATAAAAGTACTTAGACCATTTTTTTATACAAATACTTTGCAACTCAAAATGAATTTGAGTATCACGGAGTACAATGGGATTGGTCACCATTCTACACCAGCTCATGACATCAACACAAAATGAACACATAATAACAAATCTCTCCAGACAACTCTCCATGGTTAAACCCTATTTCTAACTCTAATCCCATAGAGCAATGTGATTCTGATCTGAGCAATAATCATGCAGAAAATGCGACTTAATTTATTTCAACAAATGCAATAGAAGGCTAATTGTGTTGTAAATCAAGATTTATAAGCCTCAAGCCAGAGCAGGTATCTCTGGAAGAAAAGAGTACCACTTAAAAGCCACCAACAATGTCGAACCAATTAGTAAACTTTAAGAAACTGCACAACACCACAATCAGAACAGTAAATCAGCAACTCAACAAAAAGGCTTTAAGTAGCAATTTTAACACTCTACACCAACAACCTTCTTTCAATCAAAGTTAATATTCCAGGCCCTGCATAATCTCAAATGCACCTCAGAGGTGATTCACAGCATCAACAAAAGACATTCCTGTAATACAACCACTAAGAGACCCATTATCTACTTATTCTACTGGTTTCATTGCTTGATGATTCCTGTAATACAACCAATAAGAGCAAACTGCAGGCCCGAGCTCCTCTTGCTACAGGAGAGATGCAGAGAAACTTGTTCATTCAAGCTGTCTAAGTACGAGACCTTGATTGAATTTTTTCGAATTGATTGACTTATGTTTAAACTCAATTAGATGTATATTTTCGACATTACCATAGTCAACTACGAAAAAAATATTTCCTGCAAATCCTAATTCTTCCCCCAGTAATCAAACCTTCATTAATCACGAAGAAGTTACTTCCCATATATTTTATGCACAGTAAACACGTAATTTTTAGCATTCTCAAATTATAAAATCCCCACAGGGGAAAACGATACAAAAAGAAATGCGCACGATCTCGCTGAAGCATTTCATCAAACAGGTGACCCCCAATGCATTTCCAACGGTAGAACCCGTCATAAACTGATGCACACACGAGTTGCGGGTCTTACTGGATTGCCACGATCAATGGTTGACGTCGAACGGTGGTTCCGGGTGAATACCAAGAGGCGAAATTGGGTAAATGCGGTTTGGAACAGCGAGCGTGAGGTGGGTATGGTGAAATTACGTCGCAGAGAGTGGCCGAGCTCTTCTGTATGTATAGTCGAGGCACGCACGTGGGGATCTCCGGTGAGAGCGGCGGCGGTGGCGACGGTGGTGGAGGCAGGGAAGGGGAGGAGAAATGCTGCGGTTGCGGCGGTCCTCTCTGAGGTGCGGCGGAGTTACGTAAGCTCCGACAGTGTTCGTGGCGGAGAAGTGAGGGAGAGACCTCCGGTAAGCGGCGTACGACGTGGTGGTGGGAGACTGAGGCGCTTATATCATTTCATGGTAACTTATAAGTGATTCGACCAAAAAAAAAAAATTGTAAGTGTTAATATTACGAAAAACCTCACTTATATACCTGTGATAAATGCACCTAATTTAATTTTTTGACCATCAAAAAATCCAAATCAGTACATCTGTGACAAGTTTATCCTCCGTTAGTTTCGTTAAATTTTACCGTCAAATTCAAATTGCCGAGTTGGATACTACTTGATAGTTGATGGGTATATTAGTTTGGAGTTTTATCCTCAGTTTATCACAGGTGTACCGATTTGTGCTTTTTCGTGATATTAATCCAAATTAACGGAAATAATAGAGGGTAAATTTGTCACTAGTGTATAGTTTAGGAGTTTTGATGGATAAAAAATTAGTTTGAGGTAAATTTATCATAGGTATATCCGTTTAAGGTTTTTAATTGTCAAAAAATTAATTTATGGTGAATTTGTCACACCAGTTTGGGGTTTTTCGTAATATTAGTCGTAACTTATAATTAGATTATGAATTAACAATTATTAACCAAATTAAGTTTTAGTCATAAATTGATTTCCACATAAATTTTCTTGTAATATTGCTCGAATTATACACTTTGTATTATTGTATTTAGAAATTGTTATGTAACAAGTTTTAGTAAATGGTTAATACCACGAAAAACTCTAAATTAGTACACTTACGATAAATTTACCCAAAACTAATTTTTTTATCACAAAAAACTCTAAATCAGTACACCTGTGACGAATTTAGCCAAAACTAATTTTTTGACAACAAAAAACCCCAAACTAGTACATTTTGTGACAAATTTACTCTCCGTTAATTTCCGTTAAATTGGATTAATATCACAAAAAATCACAAATTGATACACCTATGATAAACAGAGGGTAAAACTCTAAACTAGTACATCTATCGACTGTCACGTGTCATCCAACTCAATAATTTGACGGTAAAATTCAACGAAAATTATCGGAGGGTAAATTTTGTTGTAACCGTTACATGTTAATGGCTCAACATTAGTGCACGTGTGACCGTTATGACATTAGTGCATGTGTAACCGTTATGACATTAGTGGCTCGACATTAGTGCGTGTAACCATTATGACATTAGTGCACGTGTACGTAATCGTTATTTTCCCTCGTCTATAAATAGACGTGTCTTCTGAGTTCAAAGCAGACATAGAGAAAGAATTCCTCGAAGTACTTCTAGAGCGTCTCTTGAGTTTTCTCTTTAACAATATTCTCTTTAACAATATTCCTCAAATGTGCCTGTTTGAAGAAGTGTTCGGCAAAGTCGTATTTGTATAGTGCTGATACAAATAGGTTCGAAGTGTTATATCTTGGGAGGCATAGGTCCCGTTTGGTTCAGCTTTGGGAATGAGCTTTCAGCCTCGAAAGCCCCTTTCCAAAATGCCGAACCGTTTGGTTCAGCATTCGGCCTGGCATTGGCCAAATGCTAGCATTTGGAATGCCGAAAGCCCAAAGCTGGTCCGGACCAGCTTTGGGCTTTCAGCATTTGTGGAATGCTACACCAAACTTTTTTGTCCCCAAACTACCCTCACTTATTTTGGCTTATTCTGGTTTTGCCCCTCTTGGTACTGTTCATCTTCTTTGTGAGATGGCCGGCGAGGGAAATCGACACTGGATCGGGCCGGCGAGAGGCCAGCGAGGTTGCATGACCCAGGCGGCCGATGCTTGGGTCGCGTGACCTAGGCGCCGGCCGCCCGGGTCGCGCGACCCTCGCCGAGGGTCACCTGGCCTCGGGCAACGACCGCCAATTGCAGATCTAGCCCGCCGGGGGTCGCTTGACCTTGGGCGACGGTTGCCAGCGCCAGATCTAGCTCGCCGGCGGCCGTAGGCCTTCGTCGGCTCCGGCGAAGGGTAGGATAGATTTTTTTTTTAATAAAAAGGATAATTCCCAAAACCCTTTGGCAAAATTTTTTTTACTAAACACTACTTGGGCCAAAGTAGCTTTACAAATGATTTTTTACCAAACACCACTTGTATTTCTCTAAGGGACTTTAATCTAAAGGTATTTGCATTCCCCTAAGTAGCATTTTAAAAGTTGAACCAAATGTGCCCATAGTTTGTGAAGCTGCTTGGTACCATTGGCAGGAACTAATCGCCTTAAGGAGATTCGGCTAATCATAACTCATCTCCTATTTTGCTTTTATTATCACTCTCTTGAATTTATTCTTGTTACAACAAACAGTATTACGGAATTTGTTCTTCTAATTTTTTTCAACAAATTTATCACAGGTATACAAGTTTGGGGTTTTCGTGATATTAACGCTTTAGTAAAATTAGCTTTATACAGACCTATCTACCCTTACTTTTCATTTGCTAAAAAGACGTGGTTGGATCCTCTAATACATGTTGTGTTTGATACAGCCGTTTTCTTTAAAATGGGTTTAAAGTAGACTTTATTTCAAATAAGGGCCTGATTAGCAAACTTACTCTCAAATAAGAGTCTAAGGTGGCTAACTAAGGGTCCGTTTGGTTCATGGGAAATGTACAATTTCTGGAAATATTTTTCAGGAAAATGATTTCATTTTTTAGTGTTTGGCTAAAATCTAAAAGAACTGGAAAGTATTTTGGTAAAGAAAATTATAAAAAAAATCATATTTTTCAATTTATTTTTTATATATATATTTTTCTTATCTCTATTTTGCTTCATCCTTGGCCGATTGCTGACCACAACGACAGGGCTGGCGACCGACCATAGGTGATTTCTAGCCTCGCCCATCCGATTTGGCTTGGCCTGAGCTCACCAGCCTCGGGCGAGCTCACCTGATTTGGTGAGGTCCGAGCTCGCACGACTGTCGTCGTGGTCGGCGATCGGCAAAGGAAGAAGCAAAAAGAAAAGAAAAGAAAAAGAAAGAAAGAAAGAAAGAAAATTCAAAAAATGATTTTTTAAAAAATAGTTTGAGTTGATTTCCTGCGAATGATTTGCAAAACGTTTTATGAAAAGAATTAGGAAAGGTTATTGATTTATGAATTTGGTTTATAAAACGTACCACGTTTGATGAATTGAATCGTGAAAAGTTATATGTTTAGATTAGTGAACCTGAGTTTTGAGATGGATTTTGAATTTGATTTGTGGGTCATTGAAGGATGATATTAATGGATTATACTCATGCCGTTATGGTTAGAACCCATTGAGGGGTTGAGTATGCATACTATTGTCAAGACGTACTTCTGGGCCGAGCCACCTGTTGATATAGGTGGAAACCTAAAGGGTAAACTTTGTCGCATTGTGGGACATTGTGTCGTAATCATAATTAGATATTAACCATAATTAATGCCAAAGAACACCATCCCCGCCGCCACACTCGAGTCCCTCCAATCACAATCCAATGACCGGCTCCATGGTGGTGCATCATCCCACGCCGATTGATTTCGTCGATTCAAGCGATTTGGGGTCTTGGGGAGCAAAGGGCAAAGGCAGGGATGAGCTAGCCCATATCTCAAGCAATCGCGGCAAAAAGAAAATTGTCAACAATAATTGAGCTAAAACTTTTAAAAAGTACAATTAAATCTTATAACTTATCACGAAGTGTAATTGAGTTCTAAAACTTTCAAAAAGTGCAATCAAGTCTTAAAACTTGTCAAATTGATACAATCAAGTCCTAAATTTGTTTGAAGTTATTGAATTTTTTAGGACCTAATTGCACTTTCGTGATGAGTTTTAGGATTTGATTGCACATTTTGAAAGTTTTATAATTCGATTGCACTTTCGTGACAAGTTTTAGAACTAAATTGCACTTTTTAAAAATTTTAGGACTTTCAGTGCACTTATATTAATTATTATTGATCATTTTCTATTTGTCACTAAAGATTTCGCGCCAACACCACACAATACAATTTTGCTTTAGCAGGCTCTAAAGACGGGGATTTTGTGACGATGATATAGATACGTTAGCGATTCATACTGTTACACTCAATCCATAGGACGTAGCTATAAAATGCTTCAACATAAAACGTATACAAATGTTAATTAAGGCTCCATTTGTTATGTAGAAAATTGATGATTTGGAAAATATTTTCTTAAAAGTAATTGCTTGTATTATTCGAAATAGTTAGTCAATGAAATTTTTTTTCATTATCGACTACAATTTATATCAAAATATTTTCGTGGTCTAAATATTTTCACGGACGGTGAAAATATTTTTCAAATCATTCATTTTCCGTGCAACAAACACACCCTAAATATAATTCTTTTTGCAAGATAAATCTCATCGTAAGTTCCAAATTGTCATAAATCAATATTCACAAAAAAAGAATTCTCAACCGAAAATAAATTTCAATTTCTTAACATTGTTCCGAGATTTTTTTTAGCAAAATCGTATTTTCAAACAATCCCTGTATTCTCATTCGTAACGCAATACTCACAAATCCTTAACCTCAAAACCTAGAAAGGTCAAAAGGGTGAACAAAACCGCGCCTCGGCAAGTGACTAATACCACTTATATAGAATCAAGTTGTGAATAATGCAATTTTAAGAAAGATATGCATTTTCTATCACACCTCGTTGTCAAGAACCCTATGGTCATATTTCGCTAGGTGACAAGGCCCGAAAACCATATTTGCTATGATTTTGCCTCGAAAAGCACATCGGTTGTGATTAAGCCCCCGGTGATCACATTTGCTCCTATTTAAATCTCGAAACAAGATTAGTCTATGGACATGTTCATATCTCATCACACGTAAGTTGACAACAAGTGCTAATCAAATAACTCGATTCCATAATCGCGATGAAATTTTCGATACGCCTACCTTTTCAACGCATATCTAATGTAGCGCCCAAATGGCTGAAAAAATAGCCAAAGCCTGATCCGGTAATAAAATATCATTGCCCTAAAACCTTCATTTTTATATCTCATCATAGTATATATTTGAGCTAGTGGGGCAAGTATGCACGTTTATTAAAGCATAGAAGTGATAAAAGTCACTCACCTCAAATTTCCGCTAAACACTCTAGTCAAACTAATCCAAGATTTCTTCGAAAG